CATCTAGTGTTCTCTCTATACAATATTTAGTTTTAACGATTTGTTTTGACAACATGCAAATATTTTCATCTCAGTCATCCTGATTCCCCTTTTCGTCTCGTCTAGTTTTATTACGAGAACTAAACTAAAACATCTATAGTTGTTGGTCAGCTTTGAGTGTATCTAGTTGAGCTACGATAGTTTGATTATGTATCAAATTATTCCCTGAACTAGTATATTGGTGGACTGAAATTCGATTGAGAAAGCTCCACATTACGAAAAATTTCTGAGCTGAGCTCGAGGTTCGCCATAAAGCCCCTGGTTAGGTATGTAGAGGCTGCTGCACTCAGACGTACTCGATCGGCCGCCGGCCGGCATGCGTCAGTGGCGCAACAAAACAGCACTGGGCCACAGTATTTTTTTCTCTATCTAGCTTTCATTCAGCTCTGTAACCTCAATATGGGATGGTACGAATGTATAGCAACATATTTATTACAGCCAAAAGGTACAATGCAAAGAGACATTAAACAAACAACAAACATTGACACATTGTACACATATGCATGAAAAATACATTCAAAACTAAAAAGCAAATGACCTTCCATATATACATTCAAAACTAAAAAGCAAGTGACTTTCTATATATACATTCAAAACCAAGAAGCAAGTGACTTTCCATATATACGATAACATTTGATGCAATTGGTTCGCATATCGTTGGACAACCTTGTGTGATTGGCTAAAAGGTCACATAATTTTGTTTTGTATAAGCTCCTGCAAGACGAAGGCGGTCGGTTCGATGTGCAACGCGGTTGCGACATGGCTGCGTCACAGCAGCGTCACAGCCGCGTCACAGCCACGTCGCGCCTCGAACCAACCGCCTTCGTCTTGCAGGAGCTTATACTTCTGAATGCCACATTCAACCACATTGATAAGCCGCATCCGATAACCTGTAAATGAAATAAATTATTGACAATTTTTAACTTATACCAGAACTTACAGCTATGCATAGAGTAGCGATAACGTCTGTTAGCAGAGCAATATCAAAACATATACGTTCAAAGGAGGTGGTTAAAACGGATGATCGTATCGGTTCCTAGAAAACACTGGGTAGTTCAATCAAATCCTAGAGAAAACTTACATCTTTTGGAGTGCTTCGAGCAGCCGTAAGCATCAGATTAGCAGAAATGCGGTAGTATATCACATAGTGACTTAGCAGAAACCAACAGATCAACAATCTTCAGATAAATTAGAATACTCAGCAAAGTAGGAATAGTCCACAATTCGCAACATTGAGGATTATATAAAGGAGCATTCATTGCCCATATTCGTATTCACGATTAGCAGTGTTTCGTAATTACGGATAACAGTGTTAAATTGACAGCGGTCAACCATTCATTGTATCCATCGTAAGAGCAAGAACCCAAACACAAGTATCGCAGCTGTCTCCTTAAAAAACTTGTGGACGTCTAGTTTGTACTTCCTTAGTTCGTAACCCAAAAGGTGTTGCGACACTTACCTAGAAGTCACGTCACAGCAAATAGGCATGAACTCACTGACGTTTGACTTTCTCGCCATTCAAGTCAAAATTAGCAATAATATAGAAAGAAGAGATAACGAACATCATGGGTTTGATCAAATCTGAAAAGAAATGAATGAAATGAACGGAATCATAATAATGGGCTACATCAACTATCATAGGACAAAGAAAGTGACACCGAAGTAGAAAACTCCGACAATAACAAAGGGAAGTTAATAAAGAGGAGTTTTCTGCTTAGCAGACACAACGCGCCCCATGTTTGAAATTATTTTCTTACTGTACGCGCAATCTTGTGCGCTTTCCGAGCTTTTGCACAGTGGAACGGTCGCCGGCCGGCATTATTTACTAGTCCGGTGGCCGGCCGGCGTCTGGCTTCGCCCAAAATGATGGAACGGCCACCGGCCGGAAGGCCGTCGTCGAACGGTCGCCGGCCGGTGCCAGTGTCTGAGCATGACAAAGGCGCAATGTCTTTAGGCGCGAACGCGGCTTTATTAGCCGCAGAGCGCATGAGACGCAGGGTTTTTAGTAGGTTTCGATTCAACTTGGGCGAAAACTGGACTGGCGGGACTCCGCTTCGCAGCGATTCGCGCCGCTTTGCAGTCTGGTCTCTTCATTCTAATCTATCTCGCTGAGCAGTAGCGGTGCGGACGCGCTGCTCCACTTGGACGCTCTGTTACGCCTAACCCGGGTTGAGAAAGACTGTACAACGACGAAGATACGCACGCGCCCCGTTCGCGCCCGCTCAACTAAAACTGCTTCTGCGCCTTCGTCATGCAGTAGCCTTTACTTTGTTAAATCCAAATCTTTTACCGTAATATATTAGGTTGTCCCGGAAGTTTTATCGGTTTTTTTATCGCTCACTAAAACTCACAGAACACCAGTCCATAAAAGTTCTGGGTATCATTTGATTTAGATTTTCATCCTCTTTCTTATAGCTGTATTTGCTCTCTGGTCCACTCTGTCTTTGCAATGTTATCACCATGGCTTTTTGAGCAGCTCTGCAATAAAGAAAACTTTCCTAAATTTTAAAAATTTTTATCCTGATGTCTTGAAAGAGCTCTAGTAACTGTTACGTAGAGCAGAATCTGGCTCCATTGTACCCATTTTAGATCACATGAGCCACGTTTAGCAAGTCCGTTATAACTATTCATTCAATAAAAACCGCGGCTTTTTGCTTATGTTTGCCACGTAAAAGTACCGAAATTTCCAAAAAGCTGCTTTTTCAAAGCAAGTCAAACTGGGTAAAGTTGCATAAATAGTGTTCAATAAGAATCATGTTTCAATTCGCAGAAACTTCAGAAGTTTTCATATTTTTGCTGCAGTTGCGTGTTTCATGACTTTGTCAAAAATCGAAACCTCCGAAGAAATAATTTTTTAAGGCGAAAAGCAGCAGATTAGGGGAATTTAAAAATATCATCCTGTAGTCCGAGAATTGCTCTATTTGATCCTTACTTAACTCTTTCCGAAACACTGAAATGAAATTTTCAGAAATTAGCCGAACTTTGAGCAGACAAAAATGACGGTAGAAGAATTTCAGCAATTATCAAAAAAGCATACAGGATTGTGGTTCGAAAATGTAAGCACAAGAAAGAGAAGGAAAAGCTGCATCGAATACATTTTGAAGCTCGTTCGGATCTTCATTGTGCGGGGTCTTATAATGGTCTGAAAAAACCGACAAAACTTTCGGGACCCTAATAATATGGTGATAACATTGTACGAAAACACGAAAAGAGGCCATAAAAAGTTCTTGATAATAGTAACTATAAAGTATGTGTTTGTCGTCAAAACCGTATCACTAGGATTGAGTGGTGCATAGAGGGATCAGTTTACGTTTGTACGATGTGTCACAGGAAATTTGATCTTGCTCTATGTTAGTGTTGAACTTACCTTGACGAGCTACATTTGTGAACGGGTTAATCGCTTTCTAGGGCAAGGTCTATCCCAAGTTGGATTTACCCTCAAGGGTTGATGAGTACGGCCACAGATCATTTATAATTAGTCATACCTACCGTTGCGGCAATAGAGCAACTAAAACTGCGAAACAGAAATTTTGTAGTGGTCTAAGGGCTCCGTTTTTTCCCCATGATTGGTGCTGTCCATGGCAGGAACTAGCTCACTTAAAGTACCCTAATTTCACGCGTACAAGGCGCGGGGTGGTCCTAGCTTTCATCGAGCTGCTCAGCCGCCCCAACGTGTTTTAAGAAGCGATCCTTAGGCCGCACGATTCGTCAGGCAAAGCGCAGCACGGTATGTGGTTCCTTTGGTTGCGAAGTCCTTTGCCGTGTTTGGGCTGGTCGATGAAAGCTAGGACCACCCCGCGCCTTGTGCGCGTGAAATTAGGGTAGTCATGCTGTTCAGAAGCACTTTCTCTTCGTTATGCTCTTACACTCACTCCACGATTATGTTTAGTCTTTAGCGGGAAAGACATTTTTACATGTATGTCACTGAAAAATGGTTTCAAGCATTTACAGCTCTATTCACTGCGTAACCGAAAAAAGTTTAGTAGGTTGCCAGCTGCAGCAAAGTGTCAACAAGACACTATACTTGGATGTCTGAATTCTCCTTAAGTAAATGCATGTGAAAATTGTATTGAAATGGTAGCCTTTGGCTGTTCCGGTTTTTTCTCGTTGTGGGGGTGGGCGAGGGGAGAAGGAGGGGGGGGGGGGGGGTGGAAGGAACAGAAAATGTTGTTCCAGGAAGGTTTTACATTTCCAGCGATAAATTTCAGAAACCCCTTCAATGGAATCAACTACTATTCCGACTAAACCACATGTAAGGCTCTAAAGCAGACTTTTTGATTAATAACTTAGTTTTCAAATTTCTAAAATTTTTCTACCATTGGCATTCAACCCTACCCATTAAGTTTTATCTTCTTACTGCCGTTCCAACAAACAGAGATCTTTAGATCAGCAATTTAGAGCTTGCAGCCAAAAAGTCGAATTTAGAAAGGAACCAGCGTACACAATAAACTCTTTTCTTAAACTCAAATATATTCAGGGCTCGGCAGGAGGTGGCTTACAAGCAAGCTGGGTATCGTTTTTGGGACGAAAAGCAAAGGGGGTTTCGTTTTTGTGACCGAAGAGACACGGAAAATTGGCGACGGCGACCTTTTTTTAGTCGACGTTTCGTTTTTTGGGGGATTTTGGGGAATTTTTCAGGTTTTTAGAGGAAATTTGGTTAAGGGTCAAAGGGGACTTCGTAAAAATTCCCAAAAGTCAAGGGGGGCTTCGTTTTTTCCATTTTCATCTAGCCACCTGGTGCCGAGCCCTGAATATATTCATTTTCAAAAAGGAATTTTTGTATCTGTATTCTGTATCTGTATCTGGTTTGATGTGTTATTTTTTGCTCCGAAATCCAATACCTCCAATAAACCACGAGAAACTCCTGAATCTCCTAGAGAAAACATCGCCTCAGCTTTTTTAGAATGACTTATTAGTCTTTTTTACATCATTTTTGAACCGCCCTTTTTTCAAACCGTTATCATAAAATACATTGGAGATCCGCTTTTATTGGTATCATCACAACCAAAAATTAGCACATACACGCAAAAATCGTAAATTACAGGACTTCTAGTACAACTTCTTCTTACAGATCGAATGGTAAGCGTAATTGCATGGGTAGAAGTAGACATAGTTGGTCGAGGTGGTTCCTGAGTTGTAATGGGCAGCGCAGTTAAACGTCGGTGACCAACCGTTTTGAGTTGGTGGACCAGTCTTGAACAGCCAGTTTCTGAAAAGAAACTTTAGTCAGGTTTTATGAGGAAGTGGGTATATGGTAGGGTTGCGGTAGAGTCACTGAGTATACTCACATGGAGGAAGTATCCAGAACTCCGTTGGCGAACTGAATTGGCATATTATCGTGTTCACGAACGATTCCGATCCATGACCAGTAGAAAAGTGGGGTCATGTACATCACTGCTTCCTGCAAGGAATTCAAGAGTACTATAAGGATACAGTAGGGGTAGGTAAGGACGCGGTAGTGATGAAATAACCATACGGTAAGGATACGGTATCCTGGACTTGTATTCAATACTCACATATTCCATGATGTTATCAGCTCCAAACATAGTTGCACCCTTCTCCATACATCTTCTCTCGGCCAGTTGATAATCCATCTTCTCCTGCTCGACGTAGTAGCAGGATGATCCGTACTGTTTCCAGCCAGCTGGACACTAAAAAATTAGCTTATTTCCTCATCTTCACAGAAAATCGTTCATAACCATACCTGCGCGGAAGGAGCAGGTGCCTGATGCATCTGTTGTCCCATACGTCTTGGTGCAATTCGAGCTTTTCTAGCTGCAGCTTGAACTGGTCTGGGCACATATGGGAGTGGCTTTCTGGCGGGAATTCGCTTTGGAGCAGTCTGGACTGGTCTTGGTGCAGGTTGAATTGGCATTGGTGCAACTACTGGTGCAGCAATTTTTTTCATTTGGCATGGAGATTCTAAAAATATTTATTTGTTTACGTAGCTCCAGAAATCTGATTTGTTTACTTACTGGTGGTGGGAGCTTCAGTGATTGGTGCGTCTTGAGCCTGTTCACAGCAGCATGGTGGTCCTATAATTTGTATTTTAGCGAACTCTACAAATGGAAGGGGGGGATCCAAAATTTACCTTGTACGGGAGCAGCCTGGATTGGTTCCGGAGAAGTTTCAATTACTTCTGGTACGACCGGAGCGCTCATTCCACAGCAGCATGGAGACTTTGGAGCTTCGGTGGTCATCTCCTCGGGTTGTTGGAAATAGCAAGGGGCTAAAAAATCATATTGTAAGTTTGTGTGTGTGTGGGGGGGGATGAAGCGTCGTTTTTACCTGCTTGCGGTGCCTGAGTTGGCGTTGGTGTAGATTCAATGCTCATTCCGCAATCGCATGGTGAATATTCTATAACATTCTTGGATTTTTTTTGGAATGAAAATGGAATTGATAAAGAAATTTACTTACGGATCATTGGAGCCTCTGTTGTTGTAGTTTGCTCTTCAATTGGTGGGCAAGAGCAAGGAACTAAAATCGAATGTTTTCTCAGGGTTTAGCCAAATTCGGTCATTTGTGTACCTGGCATTGGTGCCTGTGTAGTCTCCGGCTCAGCTTGAGCTTGCATTTGGCAATCACAGCAAGACGACTTTGGAGCTTCAGTGGTGGTAAGATCTTGATCTTTATATTGTGGGCAGCAGCATGAACCTAAAAAAAGATTTGTGGAACTTGCAAAGTGTGAAAATATCGATTTTTTGAGTTTTTCTGACCTGACTGAGGCGCATAAGCTGGCGTAGGAGTTGTTGATGTCGTACTTGTTGATGTCGTGCTTGATGTTGATGTTTTTCTGGACTTTCCAAGTCGGCTGCATGGCCCTAAAACATCAATGTTCAAATTATTTTTGAATTTACACCCTTCGTCTAATCACTGAATAAAAAATTTACTAACCTGCTTTTTTTAAGAAATTACACAACATCTCAAGCGAAATTTGTTCATGATCTGCTGCAGGTTCCGCAGATGTCGTCGAAGTCGTGGAGGTTGAAGTCGAGGTGGATGTGGACGTCGATGTTGATGTCGATGATGAGGTGGATGAAGAAGATGATGAAGATGACTTATACTCTTCACTGTTACCACACAAATCTGTAAATGCAAAAACATTAGAAAAAAATTGAATTATGGTATTGGCAAACTGACCATCATTGAGTGGAGATTTTGTCCATTTCAAGAACATACTGCAAAGCAGATCGATCATCGCACTTCGCTTATCAGATCCATCAGCAGGTTTCTCCAGGACGATTATAGCGGCTGCTTCTAGAAATCGATACAATCGATAGTATGCTCAGAATGGACATATTAAAGAATACTATTGAACCAAAAACTATACTTACCTCCTTTATCTGAAACAGAAGTAGAATTAGACGTAGTCGGAGCAGATGTAGAAGAAGTTGATGTAGATGATGTGCTTGTAGTAGTAGTGCTTGTGGTGCTAGTAGTCGTCTCAGGAGTGGTAGATGTGGAATCACGATGTTTACATGGCCAATCAGCAGTAGTTGTGCTCGTGCTAGTCGTTGTGGGACCAGTCGTACTTGTGGTAGGAGAAGTTGTAGTTGTAGTGGGAGAAGTAGTAGTAGTAGGGCAAGGAGTAGTAGTCGTGGTGGGAGAAGTTGTAGTCGTGGTGGGAGAAGTTGTACTGGTAGTGGCAGAAGTTGTAGTAGTGGTGGGGGAAGTAGTAGTCGTAGTGGTAGGAGAAGTGGTAGTTGTAATATCAGGTGTAGTAGTCGTAGGATCAGATGTACTAGTCGTAGGATCAGACGTAGTAGTCGTAGTTTCAGACGTGGTGCTCGTGTCAGGAGTAGTAGAAGTGGAAGTTACGGTAGTAGTAGAATCAGGTGCAATGGTAGTAGTGGAAGTCGTGGATGTGCTGGGTGATGTACTCGTAGTAGATGTATTACCTGAATCCGATCCTCCTTGGCGATTGTTATCGTTCTGGGGTCTTCCTACGGCGAATCCAATGAGGATGACAAGCAATAGGGATCTATAAGATATGAAAATTATAGAAATAACCAGAATAACAGAATGCCAGAGAGATGGAGTTGAGCTCACCTGCAGATCATCCTTGAATGCCGCCATAATTGTCGCGGTGCTCCTTTTATATGAGGTGATCGCAAGTAGGGCAATAATTTACCTCAGGCTCGACCCCGTCGTCGATGAGTAGAGGAGATATGAGGTGTGAGGCATGGCTAGTACCTCAAACTATGCGGTTAGCCAATCAAGAATCGATCAATAGCCTGGATTTGAGTTTGCTATGATAGCTTCCAACAGTACTATGGGAAATTATCTCTAGCCATTAGTTAATAAAACTCTCAAAAAGTAGCAAATCGTACATCCTCTCAATTATTCTCCATTTTCTGGGAGATAATTGTGAATAAAATAACTCTAGTATGCTTATTCAAGATTTCTGCTCCTATGACCGGGTTTTCTTTCATCGAAACCAATTACATTAGGTTAAATTTGTTCGAAGAGATAAATTTATTCTCTAATCTATGCAAACTGCTTCCAACCTTTCCAAACAGCGCTTTATTCTAATCATGTGATTTTTCTATAATACGAAAAAATTTGTTTACTTGGTCTTAGCATAATATGTTCGATTTGCTGCTACTTCTGTATTCAGTCTCGCAAAGTCTGTATTTGCACTGAAAAGAGCAACTGATCTGTATGATTGATCTTGTCAACCATTTCACAGTGATTGAATACTAAGTTATTTTCAAAATACTTCCTTGGAAATTAGACGACAAATTTCCTAGAGATAAAAACTCACTCACTGAGAAAAAAAGCGAATTTACTGCTCCCAATAAAGTAAAGAATAAGCGTACCTATTACAAATGAGATTGAACATGAATAAATTGCAGGTAGGTGAACGAAAGCTTCCAAATAAATAATTTCGGAAACTCGACTTTCTCGGGTTTTTGAGGTATTACAAAGTAAAACCAAATTTTTCCATTTTGGACAATTATGTTCATATTTAGGTATAGCTACCTGTCATAATGCCTAAATCGAATAACTTTTATTAGACCTGCAACAAAGTGCTGTGGAAATGGTTTGGTTTTTCTGCCAAATTTTGTCATAATCTACTGAAAAAGGATTCCTGAGCTGACTTGTGTAGGTTCGCTAATAAATAAATTCTCACTTCCGTGGGTCCTATAAATGCTACAGAAATCTTTAATGTGGGTTTGGTAACTATCTAAGGGTACTCTTGATGAAAATTGGAATGTAAGTACTATTTGAGTAAATATTTTTATTTTTGCTAGATAGAGGAAACTTCCTGTATCCGAATACCAAATTAATCATATCCGTAACCATCACAGCATAGAGCATAACTGTCTTTTACTGGCTTATGATTATTGACATATAATATAGAAGCCCTGTGTTCCCATTAAGAAATGTAAGAAACGAGGAAAAAGCCTCTATGGAGGTTCGCATGGAAAATCGAACCAATTTTTTAGCCCACCTAATATAATTTTTGTTTACACAGAATTACCATTCTTCGTTTTGCACCTCTAAATGTCCACTCGAGTCATTATTTAGCCCACTAGCTCATTTCTTGATGACAGGCAGAAAACATCACCTATGCCTCATTTGCGGTAACCAAATCATTCGATACTCTGTCAATAAGCAGCCACTGTTATCGGCTCGGATCATGAACGGCCTTGTGTTGAAACGGTTGTGCCGCCCGCGCGGTTCGTACTTCTCCATACACGGGCATGGCTCCGCGTTTGTTTGCACAGATCTACCGTATCCACACGACGACGGGGGGACGATGAAGCCCCGAGTCAATCGTTGGGCAATCACTCAATCATACACTGACAATCATACAATACAGCTGAACAGTTCAACACCTGCTTGGACGACGTTAGGTAAGCGATCTGGCTCACACCTAGAGATGTTGGCTTTTGGGTTACGGTCACTTCCGCTCAGGAATTCTTTCCTTCCTTACCTCCGCGTCAGGTTCAATGAGTCGTATTCTGTTTCCAAAATGTATATTTAGATCATGGCCTTCATAACGCCTCCCAATCTCAGCACCCTTTACAACGCAAGCCTCTTCCCGGTTCCGAAGCCTGCAACGGAAAATGAACAATCAGGTATATTGAACGACGAATTTAGATTTTATTTTAGTTTATTTTCAAACCAAAATAAGTAATGATTTTATCAATGTCGCAGGCTCTGTGTAAACAAGAATTGCCATTTTCACCGCGTTATATAAAGTTTTTAACGGAAATCCACTACATTTTAAAGACAAGTTTTGTTCAAATATAAATATCGTTTTTTATGACTTTTTTCGATATGTGGAAATAAAATTATGAAGGGGTTTAATGTACATAACAAAGCAATGTTTCTTCCTGTTTTTTTTGTTGTTGTAGAGGTCGTCAATAAGCACTGTAGGATCAATAAATTCTGTTTTGTGGACATTTCAAAACACATTGGGATGAAAAGATAAAAACATTGATTTTTTCCTAATGAATAATTCCTCTTTGGAGAAGTAAATTTCAGTAATAGCAGCCATGTACTTCGCTTAGTAATGTTTATTCAGCCACAAAACGGAAGATCATCGATCCGTTCGATCCTGAAGCAAGCGTCCCACTGCCATACCAATTAGACGAACTGTAAGTACCTGCTTTACATTGTTTTCTTGATTGCCGCTACGATTATCGCGGTGTTTTTGCGATTTACGAGTAGTAAAAGAAAGGCGCAAAGGGATTCATAATGGATGATAGTGCCAAATAATAGCAAATGAATACAACAGCTTGCCGCTTTGCCGCAAAGCTAGCGATTATCCAAGATCGTAAATCTCTTGACTTTGCCGATAGCAACTAACTTGTCTAGAAGATTATTGCCATTGTGATCGCATACCAAAACAATCTGCGTGAGAACAGAGGAGATTTTTGAGGACGCTATTTTTCATGGGTTTCACAAGTGTGATAATATCATCTCGAGCATACTATAATTTTTCGAAAATTTCACGGTAAGGTTATCGCGAAAGCCTAATTGAATAATGCTTAGACATAAAAAAGCCAAAACACTTGCTTTCTTCTACTTTTCTGTGTTTCTAAGAACTCCAGATTATTTACTGACTGACTAAAAAATGTTGAAGCATCTATTACTTACTTCATTCGTAATTCCAAGTGCCAAGATAGCAAAAATCGTAGTTTCGTATCGCTTCCGGGAGAACAAACTTTTTGGAAAATTTCGACGGCTTTGGTTTTCCTTTTCCATTACCTTTTTCGTTATTCTCTGCTAGTCTTGTCTACTAATACAAGTAATTTTTTTAATCTATAAGGACGGATTACCTTCCGTGAGCGCGCTCGACACTTTGACAGGGGGCAGTATCTATGAACTCATTAATATAATTATCAGAGTGAAACCAGCAACTTATCTCAGTATCTCTGCGGGTTTTTACGAATGCTGTGAAGTAAGATCTTCAACCCCTGATTTTCCACTTTAGAAAAAGGATAGATTCCGAACAAAGATTTGATGATAACAGTGTCTTATGTCTCGTACATCTTTCCAATATCTTGTTATTTTTTTGCGACGACGACTCGGACCCTCTCTCACATCAAATGTACTAGCTTGTTTTCGACTATATACTTTCGAGTTACAAGGTTTATTCTGTGATATTTATTCCTTACGTTTTGTTACTTCTCCCCACAAAATTCTACTTATCCGAGCGCCTTCAAATTATGGAGGAAATTTAATATCAAAAGAATTGCATCTGCTAACCAATACAATGATAAGCCTAAGTATTTTCTGAGTCATATGCATGACGCGAATTTTTCTTTCATCTTGCCTCCTTTAGGCCCTACAGTACCTCCGTATGGAAGCGTAACGAACGTGAACGTTATCGTGTGCGTTGCGTCAACAATGGCTATGAGGCGTTACGCAGACATCTGCCGGTATCTGACACGTAAGTCATTAGTAATTAGCTCAGACTCATAAGGTAATTTAAAATAGAGTTCGTCAAGGGTGTTACTCTTTTCTGCAATGGTGGAGCTGCGCATCCGCATTGTGAAGTGGTTGAGCCGCGTTTGCAAGCGTTTCACCCTCTCTTGTTTGATGAGACCAATTTTAAGTATTTCCGATTATTTTTGCTTCCATATTCTTAATTTTCTTACTATAGCCATTTTACTTCTGACAGTATGTATAACTTACATGCTCTGTTATGCGCGTGTCGCAAAGCCTTCGCAATGCGGATGTGTATCTGCGGAAAGAAAGGGCACGCCATTCACAGACTGTGTCTATTCCTGCTCTTAAATACTTTGATCGCGAATTCACTGCAACTTAGGCTATATGGCTGTAGTCGAGATATTTGCAATTTAGTATGTGCAATCGCACCCGTGCGTTACATTTCACTTCACCAACATGTGGCCCTTTGTTGAGAAAAACAAATTTTAGCCTCCTTATTAGTGTAAGTTAGGCATAAAAAATGATTTTCAAAAATGATTTTCCCACCATTCTTCTGCTACTAAAAAATTTTTGTACTCCTGAGTGTTCCATAATTTCTAATATTCTAGCATATTTCTATCTTTTCAATCGTAGGAACAGTAATGAACAGGGTTTCTGTAAGCCTGAGAAGTCATTGGGAAGACTTATGTTTCTTAGAATGGATCTGTGCAACTGAATGGATCATCTCGTGGCCTACCGCGCGTAGTGTGTAATCGCAAAATAGCCTTTACTGCAATACATACTTCAATCTAGGAAGGAAAAAGTTCCTTAACATTTTGGCGCACAGATCAATAACGTACAAAGTGAATCAGAACTTGATGGCACTTACAGAATTTTACTTGCATTCAATAGGTTTCCTTGCTAATGTGTGCAATTGCAGATTTTGCAAAATGAGGTTAGTTATGGGGCTCGGACATAGGGTTACAGTAGTAATAGTTTCGCTATGTTCTCTTCGTTGCTTGGTAAAATTATGTTTGGGTGACTGTAAGAGTGGTGTATTTTTTGGCTGGGAGACTTGCACTTTATCGTCATCTCTGAAGAATGTGTAATTGCACAAATCAAGGGAACCTATCCTTTATTCAACTGGATTGGCGGCTGGAAGGCGGGGCTTCGTGACCTGATTAAGGGTAGAGAATGGTCAGAGAGCACGCGCGCGAGAGAAACGCAGACTGCGTCGCGGGTGCGAGCGGTCATTAGGTCACACAGCCCTTCCTTTCAGCCGCCAATCCACTTGAATCAAAGGTTACTCAATTAATTTTGTTGATAGAAAATTTACAATAATAAGACATTTAAGGGAAAAACGCATATCTAAGGTCGATACTTTGCGTCTGGCTATACGCTACATAAAGCATCTTGAAGCAGTGCTTAAAAGCGAGGACCACCTTTACAAGTGAGTTTTCATCTTTTTATCATCCCTTTTTGCCCCAATTTTTGCCATAAATATATTTTTCCTAATCTAGATGTCACTGCTTCAATGGATTTGCTGAGGAATCGGAAGGACACGTGCAAATCGACGTCAACGTACGAAATGTGAACCAGCGAAGTAATGAAAATGTGCTCAAATATCCATAAGTGATGGGCGAATATTGGCTGTTTGCTACAATTGTGATTTTTTCTTGCTAGTCATTTCTCTATCTAGTGTCAACGGGTTGTACTTTGTAAACTAAATTAGTCTTTAACAAATAAATATGGAGTAAAGATTTTGATTGTGTTTTGAGTTCTTGTGGAGCTGTTACGATCTAGAAGGTGCCATAGAAAACAAGCATAGCATCGAAAATATGTAAAGCGTACGTACTGCCTAATAGACTGATTTAGGTTGCTGTAGTGTTTCTGCGGTGGGGACAATATTTGCGCGTAAAACTGACTAGGTGCAGACTGAAGCTGTTCTCCACGCGCAGATTTTGTCGACACCATAAGAACACGTCAGTACGTGATTGTACATGTGCAGCAGCTTTCTGATACATTTTCTAGATGCTCCCTCAATGACTAAACTCTAAGATGATGCAATCACAAGAAAGACTTCAATGTAATGGCATTTTATTTGCGGCCATGTGTGTCGAACTGCCGTCAAGGTCCATTTGGAGTGCATCGCATTTGGAATGCGCTGTATGGCTAGGAATTCGCAACTTCTATCAGAAAGAAGCGAGAGTTCAATATTTTCCAATTTATGCAGACATGTATTCGTCTTTGATCTTGCGCCGCCCCCTTGTTTGTACTACGATATGTGAAGCACGAAATTGGACTGAATTCTGCCCCAATATATCTGCCGTATCCGTCCAAGAAATCCAGAAATTTGTTCCGATAAAATATGAACTGTCATCAAAAATTAACCTCCCTAGGCTCCCTTGCGGGTCTCACGTGGTGGGGAGGGTCAAGAGACGTTATTTTGGCTATCATCACCTCAAATCTCCACTTTAGTGCTACGCGAGTCTTCAAAAAGTACCAGATAAAGTGCATTAGCTTACTATTTGTCTAAGGTTACAACTTGTTGAGTTTGGGCTTTTGCTGGAAAACGGAAAGAAATATTCACGAATTTTGTTCTCAACGGCATTTTCATTGGTTTTTGACTTTCAAAAATGATGTTTTGAATTGATTTGAAGGTATTAAGATTGAACAACCTATGCAACTATCCAATATATCTCCTTCCAGACCTTGAATACTTCTGAAGGGTTATAAAACAGCACAGATTATATGCATTTGGTGTCCATTTGGGATTAAAAATCGCGCTTCTTGACGTACACCCACGGTTGTGTAGGGGGTATAATGAATTTCTTCAAATGCTAATGATGTTGGTTCTAAGGTCTTATCGATACAAATGAATCATTTAACAAGATAAAAAGATTATTACAGCGAGGAAAGGGCTCAATCAGGAGATTTAAGCACCACCACTTGGCAAGATATCCTTGAAAGTACTGTTCAGGACCCGTATCGTCTTGCTCCTTTTCTCAAAAGAACCTGACTGTAAAATCAGGTCTATATGTGTAATGTGCAGCTCGAAAATCTATAAGTTATCAGTATCGAGATCTTTAGAACGGATATCGCTAACTAAACGAGAGAAAGAGAGCGCTGACCTTTTGATAATTCGCTGTCCGCTGTTCTCGCACTGGACTGGCGATTATTGATTTTTGTTCTGCAATTGGCTGGCAGCAGGTCTGTAAGGTTATTCATCTTTATTTGTACAGTTGATGACTAGATTTGTCAGCAAGTTGAGTTTTAATTTATGGAATTTTGATCTAATAGTCTTCAGCGCTTTGCGATGACTTTGAAATTTCTTTTGCAATCATTAAAATTCTCTCTTTCAACCTCGCAACTCCTTTTTTGATAGTGGTTCTGGTCTTCAAATGGCAAATTGCTCTCATGGAAGCCACTTACTCAAATAATTATCAAAATAAATATTAGATATCAACTAACTCGTATTCTAAAGCAAGTTATCTCATTTTTCACCCAGTTCTATCTATACTGATATCAGTATATCGCTTCACTAACTTCTCCCAGACATTCGCAAGTGAGATTTTCTCCAAATATTGTCTGTTTTAGTTTCCTCTATCCTATGAGAGCTTAATTTTCTTCTACCACCTTGCTGACCATCTATAAGGTCCGTTTCTTTTTGTTGTCACTTATCATCGTGCCCTCTTCTTCACAGATCTCAAAATGGATAGATTTCTGTTTTTTTTGGTACACAACAGAAAAAAATTAACCAATTTCTGCTTAATGATGATTCAAGTGTTATTTTGCTGTCAGTCATCTTAAAATAAAAATCACACTTGAAAAACCACCGACCTGAAGATCACACCACCTTCCTAGTCATTCTGACTTTTGCTACCCACTTCCAGCCTCTAGCTTCTGAGACTTTTTCTTGCACATCTTTGATTTTCCTTACTTTTGAATTCGGGCAAGTGCTTTGAACTTTATGAAACAATATGTTTTATTCGTACAATCGAAGCTCTTCCATTTGTGTTGTTAAATTCTATTGCAAACATTTGATGACTGTTAGACTTAAATCAATATCATTTTTTCAGTTTTAGGCATAACTGCATGGCATTTGTATGGATATTAATTTTCTTCGAAGTTTTCATTTCTACGTTAAGTCTCATGCAATCGTTTCGTTTGATCCTTTTACGAAACTTATTTTTGTGCATTTCATCTCACTGGTGTGGCTATTTCATTCTCTTTTCGTAAGCTTTTCAAAATCAAACGTAGAATTCGAACTTTGCATTCATGCGCTGATTTAGATGTCGATATCCTTAATGAAGGAATATTGCAAAAATCGCTGCGGTATAAATGTTTGTTCAGTAATAGCGAGACATTTGCTGAAAATTCACCCCGTATATCAGCTGGTTATAATTGAATTAAATGCTGAATTTCTGGTAAAAACATGCTCGATCGATCGAAGTCAACGAAGAGCAAAATTGAATTATGGTGTATTTAGTGATTCAGTACAGAACGTAAACAAATTATTCACATCATTTCGATAAAAATCGTCTACAAGCTGATGTTCTGCATATCTTATGTTCAGTCCGTATCGATAGAGCAAGAGAAAGATATTTTTTAATTAAGGGTTTAAAGCTAATCATAAATGCCTGCATATTTCTTATCATTGATAGTTCTGTCAAAACATTTGCTACTGTCACTAATTTTCTATCTGATGCACGCATGCTCCTCATTTGGCATTTCCGTGAGTTTCTCACCAGACATCCGAAACATCAAGAGGTCTAATCTATGACTTGCTTGTTTTACTTTTAGCGCCAACCGATGTATTTTTTCTTTGAGATTTTGTATGCGACAGCGATCGGAAGAATACGCTGTAAATGTCTAGACATTCCTTTTTTTTCTGAGAAATGGACTTTGTAACTTTTTGCTTTCTTGAACTTCTGAGTTCCCTCGTCAAATTCAAGGTCGTCGTACACAAAATTGCCGAACTTTTGCTCGTCGGACATTCAGATCTCTCAACTAGTTTTTGTGACATCGCGATTTGGGTCCTAAAGAATTATATTTTTTCAGCGAAGGCCACACTTGATTATTAGTTTTCAAACTAATTGATCTTTGTCAATATTTTGATGAGATTAATCAGAATTTGTATTTCAAATCCGCTCAAATAAATTTCTAAACGAAATATCTGACTTGTCTCCCAATGATGGAATTTATTCGAAACGCCTAGGAATAGCTCAAAGGGGTTTTTTTAATAAAATAATCTATTTATTTCACGTCCGGTTCTGCTTGAAGTCGCCTTCGTTTGGTAATCTACTTGTAAACTGACTCTAAGCAACTAATTCTGTAAAAATTAACAAGGGAATGGTCTTCCAGCTTACAGTATATGATCGTTCTTCTCTTACGCTTTATTTGGTGATCATTAATCTGTACTGTTATCTGTGCAATAAGCTTTATGATTTTCCTGCGTTTCATATTTTCCTCAATAAAAGCTACGCTTGCATTCTCAGAGCTTTTCTGAGGCTCCTTTAGCCCCATTACTTACAATTTCGTAGTTGCGTTTTGAAAAATGGATTATAACCCCCCGAGCGTTAATTCTGTTATCAAATTATCAAGATTATCTCTATATGGTGTTAATGTCTTTTCGGGGGTCATTTCGAACATACCATTGCTGAACTTTGTGCGCAAAGCTATCTATCAAACTGATAACCGCTTGCACTATCGCCGTTGCAGTTTGTTTCTTTTGTGACAATCGTTTTTTTGCAAGGACACTTGTAACTTTCTGTAGTTCCTAGCTATTTTTGTGGAATTTCATCGTTAATGTATCCGTTTAAAATTCGCCAAGTTTTAGAATTAACTCGTAGTAACTTTGTTCGCTTATCTAAGGCATATTCACCTTTAGCAAAATGGCTTCTCTTTATTAGATATCCCCTTAGTACAGTGTCGGCTATCGCAGATTATCTATCTTCAAAGAAAATTTCACCCTCATTTCCCATAGAAAACCTGCTTTGAAAAGCCCCGTCATCTGATAGTATAGCAAAGCAGTTTCTTCTCTCTTATATGTACACCATCCTCCGACTTATTTTGTTACCTTCAAATTTCTCTGTACTGAGTTTGAATCAAGCACAGCAATCAGCGATGGGTCCAATTATTTGAACGAATGCATTGTGCTTTTGAATTGAAGCCCGTATACGGCACAGACATCCACGTTTTAATTAATGTTTTAGCAGAGAATTTGACTCACATATAGGCCACTTACTGACTATTTTGAGCTTCTGAATTCTGAGTTTTGAGTCACATCTATGCCTTGTAAAGCATAACTTATGTTTCGTTGTCCATTCCTTCCAGATTTACTCCTTGAGCTGAGAATCCTTCAATTCGTTGAGCATTAAAGCGCGTAGCCTTTTCAAGTCGTCTCCTTGTTCTGTAGCCTCCATTTACAATATATTGGCACGACGAATTTTAAAAATCTTGCTCGCTTTGATGGTTGCAAACTTGAAAACATAAATTATGAAAAACACTCGTTCTAATCCGCACATAAAAGCTGCTACTCTTCATGTTGATAACCTTAACCTTTTTCTGAAATACTTCCCGTTTAAACTTCATAAACCGAATTTGTACTCTATCTGTTTATTCCATTACAGTTCAAACGCATCTGAAAGTTCTATAGAATCTATTTGTAGAATTATTCATACCTTAAATGATTCATGTCGCTGCCACTGATTGGACTGGATTTGCTGTTGTAACATAATCGCGAAAAGTACGTGTTTCAGGTTTTTCATTATAGCTCCAAAATGGGTAAGCGGAGCAAAGCATTTGACGAAATTGCCGCTTTGGCGAAACAGCGAATCATGATCATAGATGGTGCAATGGGAACAATGATCCAACGAGAGCATTTGGAAGAGAAGGATTTTCGGAATGAAGTAGGCTTTCCATCATTCTTGAACAATGAAAATCTGCTCACTAATTAGGGAAATGAAAAAATAGTAGGGTCTCTAAAGAAGGGGGTGCCTCAATTTTTCCTTTCAATTCAGTAGTAGATTTTATTGCTGCACAACACAGTACGGTATGTTTACTGTAAGGGAAAGTTTTGAAGCTTGTTTTTGCTGATGATTCTTGCAATAATTTCTAACAAGAACCCTCAGCTTTTGGGGCTTACCATGTGAGCTAAAAACCTGGGTCGGTAGTAATCTGGTCGAAACTCCGAGTTTAAAGCTCTGCGTCTCAGAGACAACTCTGAGTTCCGTTTTTGAAACTCTGAGTTACGCTTATTGAAACTCTGAGTTCCGCTTTCGTAATTCCGAATTCCAACTCTCAAGCTCGAAGTTTGCTTGAGAAGCTGTTAAGCACTTTGCTGCAAAAGCGACGTTGAAGCAGGGACTCGAACCTGTATGGTCTAGCGTAAAGATCCTATCACTAAACCGCTAGACCATGACACACCCATGAATCCAAAATTGCTTTGCCATAATGTACTCACTCATTCCATTAACACTTAGCAGGTCAAAACAAGTTATACCAAAGCCTCACTCATTTCCATTTCTATCGGGCAGTGATGGTTCATCACGAGGATTGGTCTTTTGCGCAGCTGAAAGCTTCAAACAATAGAGAAAGCGGATGGCATACGCAATGATAAGAATTGACTATTAGGATTTGCGCACAGAATAAATCCTCCGGGCAAAGTTTGCCCTTCCATGATTCCGTCTTACTTACCGTATACCTACCGTAACCGTTCCATATGTCACCAGTGTTAGCAGATAGGTTGTCCGTAATCTGCATCCCGAATAACTCCAGTGTACCAAATTTCGGCTAATTCCGCCGCTTCAATTCATCTACCGTAAACCTACCGTAACCCCGTCAGATGACACTGCAGTATAATCTACATGTCATATTCGTTGTCGGCGCCCCGAATAACCCCAGTGCACCAAGTTTCGATCAGTTTCGTGATTTTCTCCTATCTACCGTAAACCTACCGTAACCTCGTCAGATGACACCACAGTATAATCTGCATGTCATATTCGTTATCGGCGCCCCGAATAACCCCAGTGTACCAAGTTCGATCAGTTTCGTGACTTTCTCCCATCTACCGTAAACCTACCGTAACACCTCTACATGACCCCATAGTGAAAAATGGGTACCATATGCGTGACCAGCGCATCGAATAACCCCTGGGCCAAGTTTTTACAAAATTTCAAAATTTTGTAATTCACTGCGCACCACGATACCCCCATTATGCCTGCTTAAAGGCACCGTCCACCCTAAGTTGAGGATATTGAGCTTTTAGCAGCATGTAATAGTAGGGCCCCCTATCAATCCAGTGCCCAAGTCGCGGCGCAAAATGCTGCTTCGGAAGCGAGAAAATCGCTCCAAAATAGCGAAGATGCACATAAACCCCCATCCATGCCGGCCCCTCCCCATCCATGCCCGCCCACCCGTGCGCGCCCAGCCAATCACCGTTTCGGAAAGCCGGCTGAGGGTCTTCCGGAACGGGGATTATTGGGGTTTTCGCGGATTCTTGATTTCATAATCGGAATCAGGGACACGAGAAGGCTCCGGAACGATCAAAACATAGATGTCGAGAATCTGGGTGGACGGTGCCTTTAAACTACGAGCAAAATGTACCCCGGAGGACTTTTTATCTGCCCCTCTTCTTTTGCGCACTATTTCTCTTTCTCTGACCAAACTCAGAGTTATCTCTGAGTTCCACGATAGACTGGAACTCGCACCAAACTCAGAGTTATCGCAGACACTAGTTGCGCGTTTGGTGGCGCTGTTTCTTGTGCAGGACGATTTGGACAATGTTGCGCTACTAGGAATAAACTACGTGTTAAGGAGAATCCTGCCATATCATCACTTTCCGGATTTGATCTGTTCAAACACCTGTTAAGGGGGTCGAAAAGTTGCGCGTTAGCTCAGAGATAACTCAGAGTTAACTCTGAGTTATAACTGTGAGTTTCGATAGGTTTACTACCGACCCTGGAAAATTTAAATACGGCTAAAGTACAAATTAGAACCCCTTTAAAATTACAATTTAGAGTTGAAGAAATTTCGAAAACAACAGCTGTATAAAATAATAAACAACAGTCTAACTTTTTTAGGCTCTGAAAGATCATCCAAAACCTTTAAAAGGTAACAACGACCTCTTGTCGATAACTCGTCCGGATATCATTTACAAGGTTGCTTTTTCCTTCCTCAGTCCATCACCTCGTTGTACGCTAACCTTTTCTAGATCCATAAGCTATATCTAGACGCTGGTGCAGATTTTATTGAGACTAATACCTTTTCTGGAACGACGATAGCGCAAGCTGATTATGCGACGGAGCATTTAGTCCATGAAATTAATTATCAATCAGCTCTCATAGCTAGACGAGCATGTGATACGGTAGAATTAGAAACTGGTAAAAATCTATTTTTATTCATTGGTTGCAGTTCAGAAATAGTAAGAACTTCAGATAGAAAATGCTTTGTGTGCGGTTCGATAGGACCAACGAATAAAACTTTATCAATTTCACCGTCAGTGGAAAAGCCAGAAATGAGAAACATTAGTAAGTTTGGACTTCTTTCTTTTCGTTTTACTTTTTGAAAATCGATAATCGATCCATTTCAGCATTCCAAGAGCTTGTGAAAGCCTATGGCGAACAGGCAAGATCCTTACTAGAAGGTGGTGTAGATGTTTTATTAGTTGAAACTGTATTCGATACCGCTAATGCAAAAGCGGCTCTATTTGCCATTAGAAGCTTATTCGAGGATGAAGGTGAGTTTTATTGGAGAATGCAGATTTTTTCGGATAATTATTGTCTTTTTCAGAAATCATGGAAGTTCCCGTATTCCTTTCCGGCACCATTGTTGATCTTTCGGGCAGAACTTTGTCGGGACAAACTGGGGAAGCTTTTCTAGTATCTACGAGACAGGTAAGAAACTAGGATTAATTACTTGCATACTTTAAATTCCTAAAATCCAGGGAAAACCATCAGCAGTGGGGCTAAATTGTGCACTTGGAGCTAAAGATATGAGGCCGTTCATTGAAGCTATGGCAAATTTCTCAGAAGCGCTCATTATTTGCTACCCAAATGCGGGTAAGTGCGGGGTTAGGTTTATAAGCAATCAAAGACACTAGCAGAATCTTGCAAACACCTTGTTCAATCATCTTGTCTCCTCATTCTCCTTATCAATTTTTTCTGTACATATGGATTGAATTGTTGTAAAAAAAAGCCCCCTTTTTTAAGGATTTTTATTCCTCCTTCATTTTCCCCTTAATTATCATGAAAATATAGGAGCTACATATTTATTTTGTTTATTTTTTATCTTCTTTATTTGTTCAAGCTCAATTTACCCGCTCTTTGTTAGTGTCCATTGTTTTCGTTATGACATTTTTTCCTTTCCGCGGGTTAGTGTCGAATTAGCCTTTTGGGTAAAGACACAGACTGAAAATATACTGGGAAAACCTTTATTAATAGCCTGTGGGACTCAATTTTCAGAGATATTTTCCTTCTGATAGTTTAGTATGAATGAATTTGAAGCATTTTCGAAGATTCTGTAAAATATGTATTTTTCGGTCTACCAAATGCACTTGGTGGATATGATGAGACACCAGAGGATATGGCTGAAACACTCAAGCAGTTTGCTAAGGATGGCTTGGTAAGTCGTGTATCCTTGTACTTTTGGGTTGTAAACCAGACAAACTCAAGGGGGGGGGGGGTCAAATTATCTATATCTCTAGCATCAACGTTGTTATTTAGCTGAATATTTAGGTAAACATTGTTGGCGGATGCTGTGGAACTACTCCAGATCATATTTCAGCTATCGCTAAGGCTATGAAGGTAGTCCGCTTCTACATCTTTGATCAGAATGAGCTCTAAAAATATTTTTCCAGGGTATCACACCCCGAGAACCTCCTCGGGACCCAAATGCCGGCAATATGCTCTTGTCAGGGCTCGAAGCAATGACTGTGGGGCCGTACAGTAACTTCATCAATATTGGAGAACGATGCAATGTGGCTGGTTCAAGGCGATTCTGTAATCTTATCAAGAATGGAAATTACGAGGTGGGCTAAACTCAAATTGGCTCATTTTCAACTGAAAATTGATCATGAAAAAAATCATTATGGTTATATTGCTCAGCCTGTCTTATGTTTCTCATTTAAAAGAATTTAAGCACCTTAGAAAAGACTTTTTGTTCTTCTCTGACCAGCCATTCCATCCCCAACGAATTTTTCTAGGCTGCCATTGATGTAGCACGAGTACAAGTAGAAAATGGTGCTCAAGTGTTGGATATCAATATGGATGAAGGCCTTCTTGATGGACCTTATGCAATGAGCAAATTTCTTCGGCTTATAGCCACTGAACCGGATGTTGCTAAGGTAAAACACCTGGGTTACAGGTTGAGTACAGGCAAAGATCTGGGATCCTTATTAGCCCAAGCAGCACCACATAGGATTCATTCGCAGCTAAGAAACTAAGCTTTTAACTCTGGACCACAGTAGTCTTTTATACCAATCAGCACGGCCGTTGAGTACGGTACTGGGCGAGAGTTTAGTGTACCACTTCTCGCCCAAGGATGAATCATATAAGCTGCCGTTTGGGAAATGGCTTGATTGGGGCCTCCTAATCAGCTTATCAGCAGTCCACACAGAAATTTTTGTCTGGGCACTTCCTGCAGTCTTACACCAAGATCTACTTAAATTTATTTAGTGTCCTTTTCAGGTACCTGTTTGCATCGACTCATCCGACTTTGCCGTGATTGTAGCAGGCCTAGAATCTATACAAGGAAAATGTATTGTGAATTCGATTTCCCTCAAAGAGGGCGAGGAAGCCTTTAGAGAGCGAGTGAGTTCTTTTACAGAGGAAGTGAGGTTTTGTTGAACTGCAGCTGTAGAGACCAATGTGATCCAAGGCACGTCTGGTGAAAAGGTATGGAGCCGCAGTGGTGGTGATGGCTTTCGATGAAGAAGGTCAAGCAGCCGATACGCAAAGAAAGTACGATATCTGTGAGAGGAGTTATAGGTGAGTTCTGATGGTAGCTGTTCTTGACCAAAGAGTCGTATCCTTGGTTACGGTAATTTGAAATGTCTTACTATAGTGGCTGGTCTAGGGGGAAGGGTGGGAAAGGGAGAATGGGCAACTTTTGAAAGTTACCTGCATAAATCATAAAACTTTGCAAGTGATCTTTCTACTTGCAAATCAAAACAATTTTTGGATTTTCAATTAATTCAAATTAAAATTGTAAATACAGATTTTTGGGTTCTTTTTTGACGCCACAAATTAGAATCGTAAAGACAGATTTTTGGGTTCTTTTCTGACGCCACGCTCATTTCCTCAAGAATTTCGAGGTCATAGGCTAGAGTTGGGAAGCACCTAAAACAGTTTTGTGTGTCAATACACCGACTTTCGTTCCTGATTGCTGATACTTTTGGAACTGAATAGCACCCAAAACCTTTTTTGGAAGGCGTGGCTAAAGCAACACCCTTTTGTTTGAAAAATAAAAATTCTATCGCGCCTCCTCCCCCCTAACAAAATTATTTGGATCGCCAAATAAATAATGAATTGAAAGGCATCACATTGTCAATGAGAGCATAGTGGAAGGTTTGGATAAAAGTGAAGATCAAAAAAGTCATTGAAAAAATACTGCCAAATTTCTGAGGAACTTTTCGTTGCTTATTATTGGGCGTATGGCTCATGAAATTTTCTGCATAATTAATTATGAAAATCGTCAAAAAAAAAACAAAGTTATCACAAGTGTGAAAAACGTTGACTTTCAGTATTTGGTTGTAACAATATGGAAACACAAAAACTAATAAAACACTTAAAAACATCCTATTTGAAGACCATATTCTATGGTGCTCTCTTTAAGCCTCACTTGCCCAGTTGTCTGCCTCATCCCTTTCGATTTCTTGACCATAATTGTCCTTACGTTTCAAGCTATTTTTTCCAGAATTTTGACGGAAGAAGTTGGTTTTGATCCTTGTGATATCATCTTTGACCCGAATATTCTTACTATTGCTACCGGTATGGACGAACATGCCAATTATGGAGTGTACTTCATAGATGCTACGAGGATGATCAGGGTAAAAATTACTCTCTTCTATTTGCACTACTGCACTACCTTCGCTTTGAGGAAAATCTACCAGGATGTCATGTCTCGGGTGGTGTCTCGAATGTGTCGTTCTCATTCCGTGGAATGGAGGTTGGTTACGAATGCTCTTCAGTACTAAGCGAGATTCGTCATGCGTTAGATGAGAAAGTAAAAACTTAGGCTGTGCGTGAAGCGATGCACTCTGTATTCCTCTACTATGCAATAAAGGCTGGTATGGATATGGGAATAGTGAATGCTGGTGCACTACCAGTTTATGAAGATATTCCGAAGGTTAGTTATGTTCAAAATTGTCTGCACAACCTTATTTTGCATTGGTGACAGGGATTGGGGGGGGGTATGATGGATGGGATACAGGGAAAATTTTTTTCCCGTAATTCACTTGAAAATTAGAACAAATTGTTGCCGTATTGATGTAGGATGTTTGTAATTTACACTTTCTGGCCAATAAAATTTTTTCGAATTGGAAAATTAGTTAATTTTGCAAGAAATTTCTTTTGGAGCGTAGTGTTTTTCCTTCCTCAATAAGAACTATGCTTCAAAAATTCTCCCAAAAATTTTGAATACTCCTGAGAATTTTTAAGGGGTTACGCTTTCTTCTCTTCGTTCGAAAAAGTTGGCGTTTCCATTACTCATTTTCGAACAAAAACCCACTACATAGTAGAGTATGAAGTATCAGCAATCAAAAGAAACTCTATTTTCTTCTTTAGGACCTTCTGATCCTAATCGAAGACCTTTTGTTCAACCGAGATCCTGATGCCACAGAAAAAATGCTAGCTGTTGCACAAGATATGAAGAAAGGTGGAAAGAAAGCTGAAAAGACAGAAGAATGGCGAAGCCTCAGTGTGGAAGAACGTCTAAAATACGCACTAGTCAAGGTGGATTCATTTAAAAAATGAAAAAAAACTACGGTTTTCGCTTTTAGGGTATCGACAGCCATGTTGTGGAGGATACTGAGGAAGCACGCTGTATGACCGATAAATATCCCAGACCATTGAATGTCATAGAAAGACCACTTATGGATGGAATGGCTGTGGTTGGAGAATTGTTTGGTTCGGGTAAAATGTTCCTACCTCAGGTAAAAAATCAAGCAAATCTTAGCTAAAAAGCCTAGCGAGATCATTTTAGGTTATAAAGTCTGCCCGAGTGATGAAAAAAGCCGTGGCACATCTTATTCCTTTCATGGATAAAGAGCGAGAGGAAAATATCAAGAAAATGGGTATAAAAGGTGATGAGGTTGGTCTTTACTTTTTCACCCATTGCTCCCTTTATATGCCGAGACGTTTCCGATTTTTCGTTTCAGAGCCCTTATCAAGGTACCGTAGTCATTGCTACGGTTAAAGGTGACGTTCATGACATTGGAAAAAATATTGTTGCAGTAGTGCTAGGATGTAACAATTTCAAGGTATTCAACTGTGAAGTTCTTAGGGTTGTAAATTTCAATAGGGATTTTCTAGGTCATAGATCTGGGCGTTATGACGCCTTGTGAGACCATAATCAAAACTGCGATTGAGGAGAAAGCAGGTAAACCTATACTTCTTGAAATTTATCGGTCGAATTTTTTATGATTATTTATTTCGTACCTCAAATATGGTGCGCTATTTAAATTTTTTTCTTGATTTTAACGTAAAGTCTAAGAGGCTTTTAAATGTCAAATAATTTTGCGAAGTTGTTTCTTGAAAGTTCTGTTTTTCTTGTGAAAATATTTTAGAGATGTAGAAGGCCACGCAAATATAATTTCCACTTTTTTCTTGTAGAAGGTATTTTTATTATTTAGACTTCGTTGGTTGCTCTGGACTAATCACACCTTCTCTGGATGAGATGGTCCATGTGGCAAAGGAAATGCAACGAAATGGGCTGAAAATTCCGCTGCTCATTGGTAAGCTCTACACATTCCCAAAATATTATTGGAAGAAAACGTTAGCTACAGAAATAAGAAAAAACGGGTCTTTAGCGTTCGATTCCTTGGGAGTGGATCACGAAATTCTTGCGTTCTCTTTCTCCTGAAACGGTTCGGCAAAAAAGTTTTTGTATATTGCTCAAAACAGTAATGTATCTAAAAGTTTTGCTGCATGTTTATGTAAAAAAAACAGATTGTGGGATCTAATGGACTAGCGAGAGCGCCATGAGTCTCTCGCTGCAAAAAATGCTAGTGTCATAAGCGTAGGGCGTAGGTGACCAACGTATGGAATGGACGTCATTGCGGATTGTCTGGGTCTTGTGCAGTACGCAATCTCTCATGTGTTTCGCAACGACCCTCAGCTATTAGACTATCTAGGCAATTTTTACTGCTTCCATTGAAAAATTCAGGAGGTGCAACGACGTCTAAAACTCACACAGCTGTCAAGATTGCACCACGCTACAGTGGTCCCGTTATACACTGTTTGGATGCCAGCAAATCCGTCGTTGTGGTGAGTACATAGCATCAAAGGGGCTCACGTAGAACTGTAACCCATATTTTAAGTGTTCTGCACTTACGGACAAGACAACGAGGGAGGCCTTCCTCGCCGACATCAGTGAGGAGTATGAAGAAGTGCGACAAGAACACTACGAAACACTAAAATATAGACGTTTTACTCCCATTGATGTTGCACGTTCCAAGGCATTGCGCGTTGATTTTGATAAATTCCCACCAGGTAACTCCTTTCATATTTTTCACTGGAAAATCGAGGTAGTCATTCTAGTACGGCCCACATTTATTGGATGCAGAGAGTTTTTGGACTTCGACCTCAACAAGCTCGTCCCATACATCGATTGGAAACCATTCTTTGATGTTTGGCAACTCAGAGGGAAGTACCCGAATCGATCATACCCTCGAATTTTTGAAGATGAGCAAGTTGGAGCTGAAGCAAAGAGAATTCACGATGTAGGTTTGGTTTCGTTGTATGTATCATCGATTCATTTGTAACTTGATATGCGCACTACAGACCGCACGCGCAACTTCACAATTTGTCAGAAGAAATCTGTTGATTTTCGGGAATTTCCCCTTATTTTCTTCTCTCTTTTGGTTTAGTACACATTTTCACATTTGTTCAGTTAGAAAATGTTTTAGTGACGAATTACCAGTAGATGTCGTTGTTGCTGCGCGCAGTGTGCAAGCACACATATCGAATTGCAAGGGACAGTCTGTTTCAGTCGTAGTGCCTTTTCACCGGCGCGTCCCGTGTAAGAAGCTTTCTTTTCGTTGCGGGCGTAGCTTGGGCAGTCAACTCGGTCTCACAATCAAAATTCGACATGCGTGTTTCACGCGCTGCGAACGCGTAACTTTCGCAAGAGACTCTGCAGTTGAGACAGGCTTTACACACGTAAAAAGTTCGTCTTTTATGGTTGTATCATCAAGACAATGCAAGCGGTGATGTTATAACAAGTGGTTCACGCTATTTATCCACATTTTTGTCAAATTTCCACAAGTGATTCACAGGCTTTGCAATCGCGCCGCAGGCATGTATGCAATTCGCGATATGTCTGCGTTTATATTATGCGCGCAAAATGTTTATTGCAGGGAATTCTTCTCAGCTGGATGAGAACCCTGAATAGTGCATTTGATACATGTTTAGTTGAGCGATTAAAAATTTCAGGACGCCCAAAAATGGTTGAGCAAAATAATCAAAGAGAAGAAGCTCAAGGCAAATGCTGTCATAGGATTTTATGAGGCTGGTTCTCAAGGCGATGATATCCATGTAAGACTTGATTTACTTTGGCAGAGACCGTAAATCTCAGTCTTCGATTTTTCCAGATTTTCGAAAATGGCGTAAAAATAGCAACATTCTATGGACTGCGACAACAATGTGGACGTGAACATGATCAGCCACATATTTGCATGAGCGACTTCGTCAAACCTCTAAAACTTGGTAATTCTCTCAAAAGTTTTTTTTTCACTGCCATAGAGGTATAAAATGGTCAAGGTAGACGCAGGCAATGCACACGTTACGGTCATAGTAGCGGTGTGTTTCTAATCAAAAACGTGTTGGAATGACACTGGGGACACTTAAGCAGTGGAGTTTGCGTTGAAGGAGGGGGGGGGGGGGGGAGGGCACAGGCCCGTTGAAAAACACTTTTTTCTGGAAAAAAGCCATCCGAAAATTCTTTGAGAAGCTTCTCAAATTCTCGATGGCCTCTACCAATTAAAATCTGAGAGAGGTTATTATAACTACAAAAGATTATGAAAGTTATTATTATTCTAAATCATTATTATTGTCTCAAAAGATAGACAACACGCTGCTTATTAATGCCTTAAAAGGTAGACAGCACGCGCGTTGCCCTATGCACTTTCTGCGTAGATGATTTTTGGAAAAAGTCTCAAATCTAACGTCTTCGTGACCCGATCTTGAATTCGCAGAACCACTATTCTTAGGTCTCCCATTGGACTATATGGGAATGTTTGCGTGCAGCGCTGGCATTGGGGCTGAGAAGTACTGCAAAGAACTGGAAGTTGATCACGATGACTATGGAAGCATCATGGTCAAGGTTCGTCAATTGAATTACTCTCCGCAATTAGCCACTTACAGAAAATTTAATTTCGGTTTTGAGGCTCGTCCCATTATCTCGCAGCAAAAATTGAGACTTGAAAAAACGCGAATAAGCCGACCTTTGAATTTGAAGACTTTAGTCGAGTCATCGTACGCAGAGAGAGGATGCCACTGCAGACTCGTTTGCGTCTCCCTGATCACGCGCTCTTTCATTCCTCCTGCTGTCTGCTGTCTCTGCAAACAGAACTATCTCGATCGGACGTATAACGCCTAGTCTTTGCGTGCGATGATGTGCCTATACATGTTACCTGAATCGTTTTAGGCGCTTGCTGATCGCCTTGCTGAAGCGTTTGCCGAGTATTTGCATCGCCTAGTTCGAGTCGAGCTGTGGGGATACTCAAAAGATGAAGTGAACATTTCTTGAGATTATTCACATGCTCACCTTCAGACGCTTGAGTGTCATAATAGGCATCCCAAATTATTGCCCAAATACAACGTCGATTGTAGCTTTTTATGATTCAGGATCTGAGCCCCGCCGATTTGCTAGCAGTTAAGTATCATGGTATAAGACCGGCTCCCGGATATCCAACTCAACCAGATCACACCGAGAAGAAAACGCTTTGGAATGTGCTTAAGGTAAGTATGCTGTTATAGTACAAAGCCAATAAAGTCTCGCATTGAGTGCATCCTACCGTATCCGCAGGGTTTGGTCGTGATTACGGTAGCGGAAGAGGGGAGAGGAGGGAGGAGTGGAAATAAAACGCGGAAAGCGCATCAAATTCGCGTTAATTTTTCTAATTGATAAAATAAATGATATCATTTTTATTTGTGGAAAAATAAGTTAACCTGCTTTAGCAGCTCAAGAAAAGCTATCTATCGTACTTAGATTTTTGGAGAATGATCGGTTAAAAATATGGTAGCCTGCCCATGATTTCGATCGAGAGAATTTCTGCACTAAAAAATTCGATTTTTGCAAAGATACATAAAGTTATATTTAAAGGCAGACGACTGTGGACTCCAGTTGACCGAGCACCTTGCCATGCTTCCAGCTGCTTCTGTCAGCGGCTTGTATTTTGCCAGTCCAGCTAGCGCTTACTTTGCTGTAGGGAAGATTGACAAGGACCAGGTGAGGACTGGATTGATTTTCTGCGAAAATGTCTTGAATAGATCTATTTTTCTTTAGGTGGAGGACTACGCGGCACGAAAAAATATGTCTCTAAAAGAGATGGAACAATGGCTGTCAACTACGTTAGGCTATGATATGGAAGATCAGTAGAGTTTTTGTTGTTCTAATTTTTTAGTTCAGGTTTTCTGAAATATAGTGATATAATTGCAGCTTAATCTTTTAGCATGCTCTAATTGTTCACTTGCATATTTTTAGCAGTGATTTTAAAGTTCCGTGTAGCTTTTATTGTTATGTTGTTAAGGTGTTGAGACATTCTAAATTGTTCAGCGCATATCAGGTTTGGAACACCTCACTCCTAGAAGATTGTGATATTTTGTGGCTAATGTGTTTTTTTCGGTCAAAAAACCTTCTACAATGGAACGCATGTGATGTAAGAATCTGGGCTGCTCTGTTTTAGTAAACTATATGAATAATAAAACTGCTCAACATGTTGGTATTGAACAGCATACATACTTTCCAAAATTCAGGTTATATGCAGCTTCCGGGCAGATTAGAACACTATATGATACTATCATAACCGATTGCTAGGGCCTCGATCTAGAAATATCGCACAAGCCGACTTTTGTACACCCCCTGTACAATGAGAAAATCGGCGCGAAAAAGGCCGAACCGCGAGGACCACACCCACTCCGTCGCACGGCCCGCCTCCTTGAACGAATTCTCCTCAGCCCTTGACGTGATTTCACGTGGCAAACACAATGGAACGCATAGCGTTTACCTGCTAATGATTGCTTTCGACAAGGATGCATCAGAAGCACTCGTCCGGGATTTTCCAAAAAGCCCCAAAAGAAGGTTTTCTTTCTAAATTCACGCTTTTTGAGTACCATATCTGGACCAGCGCAATGAAAAAGCCTGGACAACATAGAAATATGGAAGTCGAGAATCTGCTTGCTCAGACAATCGAAGGAATCCTCCGGATTCCTCCGTAAAGTTATGAAGGCAGTTGCAAAACATAGTTTCCAACCAATAAAAGTATGTAGTAGGGTTTCCATGCATGCTGATTTCACAGAACAACTTTTCACAGCTTTTTGAGCTTTCTGAATGGTTGAATCACATCTTGAGAAGCAGAAAAAGCCGATCTTTCTACTGCGGAGCAGATCGAATAATGTTCAGATGGCTATAAAACGCTGAAAAGGAAACATTATAAAATTGTTTCTTCTCTGTGTGTAAACTTTCAAGTGTAGAATTTTATGTAAAAAGTATGAAAACTTATGTGAGAAAGTGTCGGTGCTAGCTCAGCTGGCACCCAACTGCCACTGTGCCAGGTAATTCAGAAAAAAGTTCAGCACAACTTTCATTCACGTAAGTTTTCATAAATCTGACCATGGTTCGGGTCCGTAACGCGCATATACACATCAAATTTGGCGTCATATTATTGCGTTTTGGCTGAGAACAATGCCTTTGTTTGTTTGATGGACAGCATGCCGGCGGCATTCTTGCGGCTCTTCTCCGCTCCGGATTGCTTTCCGCCCTAAAACGATATTTAGCTTGACCCGCTGCCAGATGTGCCAAGCCCTGTACTGGCAGCAACGCTAATAAGCACCCAATTATCACCGAAGACGACTACCTATTTCCGGGGTATAAGGCGCACCTTGTATAAGGCGCACCCGCCGCAGCGAACACTGGCGCGAAAACGCTTTCTAAACAATTGCTTTCTAAATCTAGAAAACTGAAGACTCAAGACTGCCGTGGTTTATCCCCGTGCTACACTTGTGCCTTCCTTTGTTTCCAATAATGCTGGTACTAAAACTGTGCTTTCCTTTACAATGATACTACTGATATTTTGTAAGCGCTATTTGTTTTATTCTTGTCATTCTTGAAGAATAGAAGAGAAAGCAGAGATTTGTTGTGGAACAATCATTGAGAGGAAACCAGTAAAGAAAGGGAGCAAAAAGCTACTCCTGAATGAAAGAGGTTGCTGTTGGCTGTTTGCGCGGCGCCGCGCATCGCGTACGTCATCATCATCAGCTCGCGCGCGTTGAAAGCTACTGCGCCTTATACCCCGGAAATTAGGGTAATTCTGCACACGTTCAGTCCGTCATCATCCTACAGCTTATGAAACCGGAATTTCTTTGAAATTCGAATTTAAAGTTCAATGGTGAATTTGGTCCAGTTGGGGATAAAAACTTGAATTTAGGGACATTCTATCACGCTGATTCCCAATATGACAATCGTTTTGCTTGAAACCTAAGATTTTTTCTTTTTTTAAACCTGTTTTCACAAATTTTTCAATTTCGAAAATTCTATTTAAGGGTGGGATGCTGTTTAAAACTTTGAACATTTTTTCATTTATTTTTACAAAAATTCTCTGTAAATTTGGCAGATTAGACAATAGAGTTTTTTGACATGCTGTATTCGAAAAGGCTGATGGTTTTGCGAAGCCGCGAAATTTTTCTATTTTTGAATTTCTAACTTTTTTTCCGGAAATTTCACTGCAAATTGATAAAACTGAAAAACAAATGGAAAAGTCTGCTATGTTTAGAAAAAATAAAATGAATCTCAACTGAACTATCTTGCACCAGTAATACTTTAGACCGAAAAACGAAAATCGTAACCATATCAAAAAATTCCCATATCTAAAATTGAGGATGATGACGGAGTTGTCGTATGCAGAATTAGCTCGTCTTCAATGCACATTGCTTAGACAGTCGGTGCGTGCGGCGCACGCCCCTTTATGCTCAATCCGGCAAAGCGCGTGCCTATTTTGAGGGCGTGTCCGGTACGGCGCCAAAGGCGCGCCATACTAGACGTGTATGCAGAATTATCTGCGACACGCGTGCCTTTGCATATACGTGGCGCGCGTACTTTTAAGCTGTTAGACAGCAGCGCGAGCGCGATTTAGTTTTTAGCGCAGCGATGCGTGCCTAAAAAGAGCCGAGTTGCTTTTTTGAAAAATAGCCGCGTTCCTTGCCCTATTTTCTGTCTTTTTACTGCTATCCTTTACAGGTGTTTGTCTTTATTTATAACTAGACTTTTGTTTTGATTCTCTTACTGGATTTGATGTGTTTTATTTTGTGTAAACTTATTCTAATCTGTCGTTATTATTCTTAGCCTTTCTTCCTTATGTGAGTTTTTCTGATGAGAGAATCTTTTATTTTTTGTTTAGATTTTGCTGATGATATGTTGGGATACGGGGCGAACTAGTACCAGGCGCGGTTGTGGACTTTGAAAACTTGGCGTAAGTGCGCATCATTTTGTCCATGTTGTCTTTCATCAAGGTTCATTCATTGCAGATTTTACGCTAGTCCTGGCACAGACGAAGCCGAAAGAAAGCAAAATTTTGACCAGGCTTCGCAAGAGAAAATGCGATGGTGTCCGCAGCTCTTTAAGGCCTTGCAATCGCACTGTGCGTAGTTAATCTTTACAGGTTATAACGCAAGCTCAATTGCTATACATCAGTTTCAGGTGGGATATCAGGTCCTATGCGTACAAGGAAAGCGAGTCGAAATGGATACCACAAAAGATAAAATTGTTTGCTGTTTGATTAGTATTTCATGGATTCATTGCAGCGCCAGTCGAAAAAAGTCGCGTACGAAATGATCGACGATGGGGCAGTAACGACGGCGACGATCTATTCATTGCTGATGGGTGAAGTTCCGTGATTACAATATTTTTGAGCTATATGTGTTAACTGCATGTACATGATGCCATCCCGTTACATATATATTTGACTGTACACTATTTGATCCACTACTCATCATTTAGTGTCTTTGCTTTAATTACATAATTAATAAAGGTTTGCTAAAGTTGTCCGTAATTTTTCTGCAGAAATAAAGTTTTAAAAGCTTTAGTGGCGTTGGAAGTTTGGCCGATCAAATTTGGCGCGCGGGTCAATAATTAAGGCGAAGTTGCAAAAAATGCTGACTATTCGCGTGCCAAAATCGCAGCCATCCGCGTGCAAGAAATCGCAGCCACGCGCGTTTGAAATCGCAGCCATTTGCGGACGATCATGCAGCGGCGCGGCACCCAGTAGCTCGCCATCCACGAACTGGGTATAGCGGGGTGGAGGAACGAACGCCTCAATTTGGCACCGCCTCCGCGGACTACTGGTCCCAAGCGATGTACAACAGTAAGACGAAAGGACCAGCAGCCCGCAGAAGCGGCGCTTATTGAGGCCTTCGTACCTCTACCCGGTATAGCGCCACTGTGCAATTGCGCGCGCGCCGCACGCACCGAGTGTCTGAATGGTGCAAATCAGCATTGCTGCCAGTTCGTGACCCATTATGAACTCCGCTAACTACGTAACGGTAAGCCTATCGGGATATGTAGTTCTCTCACCCCATATATTGTTAGATAAAGTTATCTCGATTTCCCTTATCTAATGCTATCCATACTCTTGATAACTCGGTAACTTCTCGGACTTTGAGAAAGATCTCTCTTCAGATCATTTATTTCAGTTCACTCCTATTTCTCCTACATAAGAGGTTTATTTTTCGCTACTGCCTTGCTAAGCATCAATTGTAAGGTCCGTTTCTTTTTGTCTTCACTTATCATTGTAACTCTCCTCTTCACCCTTGATGTGTAATTTGTGGTCGTTTTTTGTGCATGTCAGAAAAAAATAAATCAAATTGTGCCTAACGAAGTTTTGTCATATTGCTGTTCCTTTCTCATGTAAGAACCACACAGTAAGTCTTTTCAGCCATTCTGACTTTTCACAGACTGCTAGCCTCAATGGCCAGCTTTTGAGAACTTTTCTTTCATGTCTTTGATTTTCTTTACTTCTAAATTCGGGCAACTGCTTCAATTTTATGAAACAAAGTGTTTAATTCGTACAGTCAAAGCTCTTAAATTTGCATCATTGAAGTCTATCGCATGCATCCATTTAATAGATTTAAATCAATATATTTTTCCATTCAGGTATAATTACATACATGGCATTTGCATAGATGCCGGTTTTCTTCGACATTTTTTTCTACGTCATACCTCATACAATCAATCTATCTTTCATATGACGTTTTATTTCAAGCTCATTCAGTGTTGCTGACTATCTCATTCTCTATTCGTAATTTCCCCAGATACATTAACCGTACTCAAACATTTAGGTTTGCATTCAAGCATGATGTAGCGTTAATATCAGTGATGAAGGAAGGCTGAAAAATTGCTGCGATATAAATGAGTTGAAGATTCAGCACGTATCTTAGCTGGTTATAGTTTGAATCAATTGCTGCTTTTTTGATTGCTCAATCAATCAAATATCAAGTACGAAATCGTGATTAAAAGGCATTTTAGAAAACGTAAAGGGAATCACCACAGCGTCTCGAAAGGAATTGTTCAAATTAGTTTTGCAAGCTTACTTTTTGTTTTCGCTCAATCAGCAAAAGATATGATCACTACAAAGTATACGCCCAATATGATATACTTGTCATAAGAGTAGAAAATTTGGGGGTTTTCCAAAAAAGGTAGCTAAGTAGCTGGGTCGTTACAATGAGAATCAAACAAGTGGAGCGTTTTCTTCTCAAAAGTAACCAATAATGTTCAAAGTACGAGGCAAAATCGGTATGAAGTTCTTTTTTGTTCGATGGAAAAATCAAGAGAGAAAAAATATGCAAAGATTCCTCCTTTGCGCTAAGTCAATCTAACCAAGTCTACGAAATTTCTGTGCCCTGAGCGACTTAGTAGTCTAGTCTGGACAAACTTTTTGTATAGAAAAAAATGAACTTGGTGATTTTTTACTTCATCTATGAAGTGTTTAAGAATCGAAATTTTATCAGCTGGCATGATGTCGCCTTTTTTTGTTACTTCATATCACTCCCTAATATTAATGACTACAACCTCACCTCAACATGGAATTCATTTTACAAAAATTTGGAATCAACTTTACACTAATTTGAAATTATAAAAACTTGCGAACTTCCAGATTAAAGGACTGGTTTCATTCACCGATTGTCATTAACTTTGAAAGGATCGATTGCCATCGTCTACATTCATGACTATCTCAATAAATTGATATTCACTACCTCGACAAACTATCCTGATTTCATGTGCTGCTGTACTCTATAATCTTAACCTTTTCAAAACTTTAACGTCTTTCTGTTCCTTCTGATCCTCTCTAACGTATAAAATTCTACAGTTGACTATCCTTTTTTCTAATGTATAATTCAATGGATTATCTAAGTACTGTGTTAATGCTTTTTCGCGGTCATTTCGAGCATACCATTGCTCATTTGTACGCGAAGTTATTTATTGAACTGATAACGCTTGAACACATAATCTATTTCTTACCAGTTGTAATCTAATAAATATAACCACCAACAGCTTACAAGAAGGCTCGTTCCACTGTACATCAACCAAATTTCCACTTCTATTACCAAATCGACCTCTTCGACAGTTTGTGATTACCGCTTTACATTTTTATCTCCGCAAAATCTAGTGCAAAGTTCTTTGACTTTGGTTTATTAGTTTTTACCTCCATGTTTTTCAGAATGTATCGAATAGTTGAGTTGGAGGGGGAGATTTGACCGCGTAAAGTGCAGGATAGAGGTAAATGGCTAACTTTTAGGACTCTGAGGAACTGATGAAGGCGTGCGTGCAGGAATGTTAGGCCCGAAAATGCGTTCAATCAAACTCTCTGGCAGACCTTCGATAGTCTAGAGACACGGCGTCAAAAGTGAAGTTTGTTTGAACATCTGAACTCACAAAAAGTGAAAGTTGTTTGAAGAAGAGCAGAGAAGAGAAAATGACATAAAACAGGTATAAAAAGCAAGAGAAACTGCTGAAAACCGGATAAAAACGCTGCAATGAGGTTTGAGATCTTTGATTTGGCGGCTTTTCAAAGTGCAAGTTTTCGCTTCAGGACCAGCAATTCGCAAACGGGGGTAAGCGAAGAAAAGCCAATTCGATTCAACAAAACATGTCTCGGAAGGAGTGGTCATCAAGAAGAGGATAAATAAGAAAGAAATTAGTTACCAAAACGCAAAGTTTCTTTTTCACTAAGTTGGAAAGAACGTCGAAGACAGATTTTAATTTTTGATGCGTTTTCTAACTTTTTACCCCCGCATTGACGTTCCCGTTTCCTGGGGCGGTCTGGATTGTTGCGCTTATTGTTCTGAGCAACAATTGCCAAGCTGGAAAAAAATCTATGCGAAAGCACTGAAACAGAACAAGGTAAAGAAAAACGCACTTTTTAACGTTTTTTTTGCAAAAAATTCCATCATAATCGAAGAGATAAGGGCTGGGTCGTTGTCTGCATTAGGAACAGAAACAAGATCTATAGAATGCACGAAAAAACCGCGTGAAAAGAGTTAAACTAGGAGGAAAACGAGAAATTTTCGAAAACAAGATTCTTGTCGGATTCCTCGATCAGATCAAAAAATATGGTTCTGGGACGTTGTCATCGTGAAAATAGAGATCAAGAGCTTTAAATTGGCATATAGCTTGCTAAAATTGGATTTGAAACAGCGAAGAAAAGGGTACCAGAGCCAAATGGCCGGCGCCTCGCGTTTGCTGTAGCGAGGTAACGCGCAGCGTGCAGAGACGCAGACGAGCAGCGGAGACAGACCAGAGCCGACGGGGCATTTGGCTCTGGTCGTAGATCTCCGCGGGGTCTCAACGAAACCCTGCAACATTATTTATCATTCTGATCGTCATGACACGACGAGGAGAACTGACAACGTCCCAAGCTTCGGAAATCACTCATTAACGAGATAGACCACCGTTCCCGACTCTCTACGCAAGATTAAGAGCAATTTCTCGTTTTTATTTGACTCCAACAGCTTTCCTAAACTCCTGAAACTCGATTTTGGTCAGACAAGAGGTTAAGTGAGAAATGTTGTCCTGAATTCTGGCAAAAATTTCACAGAAACTTCTTTTTTAACGTAAAAAGGCTATGACAACGCAAATTCTCGGTTTCGTTGAAATAACCTAAAGATATTATTTCCTATATTTGCTTCATTAACATTCGTTCCGATATAGTCAGGATAATAACATCCGGAGCTTCGCAGCGGATAAATTCTGTTTTTTCAGATGAAGGTTGTGTCCCCTCATAGCCCTCAAAGTGAAGGTTACCAGAATACGTGGCTCTATGTATCGAGGGTATGCTCTCTGGCGAAGAACCTTCTGCTCATATATTTTAGCTCTTCCCTTTCACACCCACACAATCTTCCAACTCATTCCATACATCCCCTTTAATGTCTATAACAAGTGCTGAAGAGTTGATTGCAGCAAACAACGGTTAATCCAGATTTGGACGATTGCATTGTGTTCAGTGAAATAAAACTGTACGTGGCACAGATCCCTTCATCCACATCCTCCTTTTTATGTTTTGCATGTAATGCAAGCCACATATAGCCTTTTATCATCAAGAGTTTTGTCTATGTTACATGAGGCAAAATTTGCGCCTATTAGCATTTCTTGAAATAATTCAATACTGAAAACGAAAACTGTCCACCTCACGCTTGTTGGGCGCTTTTTCAAGTTGTTTTCCCGAAAACTCCATCCACAACATAGCAGTGGTTCGTTTCGGATTCCTGTTTTTCAATTGCTCGTAAATATCTAACAAAAAGCATAACAACTCCGTTTGCAAGCGCACTAAGAATTATGAACGGTGTCTATAAGCTCCTTATATGTTATGCCATTTGATTATTGAAATCTGTGATTGTTCATCTTGCTCTATTATTTTTGTCTGCAACTAAATACCCTTTGATTCAACCGGATTGACGGCTAAAAGGTGACCGCTCGCGCCCGCGACGCAGTTTGCGTTTCCCCGCGAGCGTGGTCTTTGATCGTTCTCTAACCTTGATAATGCCTCGAAGCCTCGCCTTTCAACAGCCACCGTTGAATCAAAGGGTATCTTGCAATATACAGGGTGTCCCAAAAAGATGTACACACTTTTTGATTGTTAATAACTCTCTTGCTTTCATGTCTTTTGCCAGTTTGAGGTACCATTCTTTGGAGCGAGGTTCAACTTAGGTTTAGGGTATGGAGCGATTTATCAGCAGCTCTTCATTACTGTAAGATTACGGTAGAAATTTTGAAAAGGATTTTAAGCCATTGAAAGTGGTATTTTGCCTCAGAAAAAAAGCCAAACAAGCCGGAGACTTATGAACTGAATTAATCGAAGTTGCTAATTCTAAATATGGAAATTGCACGTCAGTACACTATTTTTTTTCATGAGTTATATCAGATTTAGGGTGACAACATTCTCCAATATTTGTCAGAAATGTGAATACGCTATCAAAAAAGCTTGAAAAACTGGTGGAAAGTTATGTAGTAAAATCAGCACGCCTGAAAACCTTGTTACACAATTTTTCAAATTTTTTCGAAGTTATTTCATCAAAAGGCTTATTCCACAGTCACGCTGTATGCTGAGAGTTCTTATCGTGATCCTACAGTAATGAAGAGTGATTGGTGATTCGCTCCATACCTTGAATCTAAGTTAATCCTCGCTCTGTAGAATGGTACCTCAACCTCCAAATGACATGAAAGCAAGAGAGTATTAACGATCAAACAGTGTGCACATCATTTTGGGACACCCTGTTCATTGCAGAATTTCAAAGAGCACGTCTTGCAGGCATTTCAGTATAGCTCCAAGATGGGCAAACGGAGCAAGGCATTCGACGAAATTGCCGCTTTGGCAAAACAGCGAATAATGATCATAGATGGCGCTTTGGGAACAATGATACAACGAGAGCATTTGGAAGAGAAGGATTTTCGAAATGAAGTAGGTCATTCCACGTTCCTCAGCAATCTATTCACTATGTAGAGAAAAGAAAAAAGCAGTGGGGTCGCTAAAAAAATGATGCCCCAAATTTTCCTTTCCATTCAATAATTCTTCAATTTTATTGCTGCACAAAACAGTACGTTATGTTCACTGTGAGGCCAGGTGGTGGACCTTGTTTGCATGACGATTCTTGTATTTCTGAAACATATCCATAGGTGCAATGGGGTGAGGCGTGTCCCTTCAAGGTGAAGGGTGTCTCGGCTGATTTTGACTCTCAAAAGTGAAGGGTGTCTAAAAAGGACCTGGTGGGGGGGGGGGGGGGGGGAGTGAGAAAATTGCCGCGTCGACCGGGGGGGGGGGAAAGGGAGGTATAAAAAATTGTAAAAATCATAAAATTTCCAATTTGAATAGTCAAATTTTCTGAATTGGATTGATATGGAATATAATTAGTGAAATGTTTACAAGTACTTTTTCGATTTATGCAAATATTATTTGATTTTTATACACCACTAGCTGGCTTACCCGGCTCCGCCGTATCCGGACCAAACTTGGCACACATACACTTCGGGCCCCGGCGGGTGTCACAGTCACTTTTCGTTATCGATCGATGTCGATTTTACCGATTTTTATCGATTTTTTTGCAGAGTTCACCTACAGGGGTAGGAGTTGGCGGGGGGGGGAAGTGAGCATGGGGATTCCGAATACAATATTAGTTTTCAGAATTATCGATTACTTTTATTGATTTTATCGATTTTTTGTAAATTTTGACATGCGAGGCTGGGATTTTGCACAGGGGGGTAATCGAGCATGCAGATTACGAATACAATATTGGTTTTCGGGATTATCGATTACTTCTATCGATTTTATCGATTTTTTGAAAATTTGAGCTAGGGGGCTGGAATTTGGCACAGGGGGGTAATCGAGCATGCTGATCACTCCCAAGGGGGGTGATCAGCATGCTCGATTACCCCCTTGTGCCAACTCCCAGCCCCCTAGCTCAAACTTTGCAAAAAAATCGATAAAATCGATAAAAGTAATTGATAATCCTGAAAACCAATATTGTATTCGGAATCCCCATGCTCGATTACCCCCCTGTGCCAACTCCCAGTCCCGTAGGTGAACTCAGCAAAAAAATCGATAAAAATCGATAAAATCGATATCGGTCGATGACGAAAAGTAGCCTATGACACCCGCCGGGGCCCGTAGCGTATGTGTGCCAAGTTTGGTCCGGATCGGTTCAGAAATAAAAATTTCTATTCGGAACATACGTACATACATACAGACATACATACAGACATACATACAGACATACAGACATTGAGCTTTACAGTCGAGTGGATTTCCTGCTTAATATAGTGTCCCTGCAGACGCGACAACGCTGAGGCGTCAACAATTGCCTGACGAGTTCCCGAGCTAGTGTTTTCCAGTGTTTTCTTTGCTTATTCTATTCTTTTTAGGTGATTCGTTGCTGATAAAGAAGAAAAGGGTAAGTTAGAAAGTAGTCTCTGTTTCTGAGAACTATTATCGCATATTCACAGATATCCACGTGGAAGCAGTTCGCGTCAGCTTCTTGTCTTTTTTTTGTCACTTCATGTCTTTTTCTTCTTGTGAGGTACTTCTTTGAACGCTAGTGGGTTTTTACGATTGACTTATTGTCTTTATCACATGAAGTACTTGATTAGAATGCTATTTCTTATGGATGAAAGCCGAAGTTGCTGCAAGACAAGCCAACAACTAGCTTTCAAAGAAAAAACGCTTCACAAGAAGGAGGAGGTTTGAGAGAAAAAGTGACAGAAGAAAAGGAAATGACAAAAAAACAGACAAGAAGCTAACGCGAAATGCTTCCACGTGTATATCTGTGAATATGCGATGATAGAACTTCTCAGAAAACAGAAACTACTCTTTAACTTACCCTTTTCCTCTTTATCAGCAAGAATCAACTAAAAAGCATAGAATAAGCAAAGAAAACACTGGAAAACACTAGCTCGGGAACTCGCAAGGCATTTATTGACGCCCCAGCGTTGTCGCGTCTGCAGGGACACTATATTAAGCAGGAAATCTACTCGACTGTATATATAAGATTTTTCGGTAAAAATAAGTATGTTTAGGTGGGTCGAACGTGTAATGTTGCTATATGATTTCGACCAACAATCACATGAGCAGTGGAAACTGGCAGATACTCAGAGGCTTAGAAGATGCTGAATGAAGTTTTACTTGGAACTTAAAATGTGGATAATGTCAATAAGAAACTCCGTGATGATTATGGAATTATTGTTGCAAATAAATCCGTAAGTTTTTATCTATGGAGTACAACAAAAAAATTTGTTGCTCAACTGTGTCTATTGTGTCCACTTGAAGCACAATAAACATGTACAGTGTAACACAGTGATAAGAATAGTATAACTGATGTTAGGAGAAACTTCTAGGGCAGTAAAGTTGAAACTACGAAATTGAATATTGAAGGTCAGCTTTCATTTAGTATGACTTAAGTAAATTGCAGCAGCTCGCTCCCCTGTATAACTCTCCTATAATTGGGCTGAAGCCAATTCTGAACTAGATCTGGAGTCTGTTCTTCAAAAGCTATAGAAAGATGTATGATACACCCGATCTCTTTGCGAGGGTATAGGTAAGACTCAGTAAACCTCCCTCTGTGAGATGCAAAAAATTGAAGCATGGAATGCCCCCATCGCCAGATGTGAAGCTGAAAAACTTTAAAATCGATTTTTCAGACATAACTCATGTATCAGTTAATACATTAGAATGGGAATAAAATAGATGGATTCGTCTTTTCAAGAGCTTTCGAATGATATATAACATATGGAAGTTTGTATGCTTCCAGGCTGCTGGAAGAGTGGGTGAGCCGCTTTAGTTATGCGTGCTCACCCCCCGCCACCTTGATGCATTGGAGAGGCGCCGGGGGGTGAGCATCCTGAACTGAGGAGGCTCACAGACCCTCGCAGGGCTTAAAAAACATGGGACCCCCACATTCTATACATCAATCGATAATTTGCAAAAAATCGATTTTTGGAGACGTGATTTTTGCTCTATTTGCGGCTTCATAACTGTAACAAGGAAACGATACTTGGTGTCCGTGGCCTTTTGACATGAAACGTGAACCATCACATTTGTCTTGGGACGCTGATTCCGAATCTGACTTCCGTTTCTGCTAATCGTTTCTCTACAAGAAGTTATGAAGGATTCTTGCGTCAAGGGTCGCCTAAAAGAAATACGGTCGAGGATGCCTATTTTTTGAAGAGAAGCTTGATTGAAGCAATGCGAAACCTAAAAACACAAAAAGGTCTCAAATTTGAACCTGCATTAACTTGCGAGGCTATCGCACTAGCCACTACACCACATCTTAGCGGCGGTTTTGGCATTTCGACCACGTCTCCTTGGCAGGAAAATCCTTCATAATTTTTTTCCAAGAAACGATTAGCAAAAACGGGAGTTAGATTCGGAATCAGGCTCTAAGACAAGTCTAATGGTAGCATCTCATCTCAAAAGGCCACGGATACCAAGTATCGTTCCCCTTGTAAGAGGAATCTTTTCTAGGATCTACTTTTTTGTATTTGATAGAGGAAAAATTTCTTACTAACGCCTATACTCTCGCAAGATGACGTTCTGCAACTTACTCAAGTTATAAAAACTCAAAAACTGACTTTCCTTTGATATCACCATCATTGTGACTTCGACTGTACTGCCCTAGAAATTTCTCCTGACATCATTTATACTACCTTTATCATTGTTCTGGACTCTATATGCTTATCATGCTTTAGGCGAACACAACTGAGGAAAAATTCTTTTATTGTACTACATAAATACCGACATAACAATTTATTTGCAAAAAAAATCGACATAACGACTTAATTGCAAAAAAAATTCGTGATCGATGCAAGATCTCTTATTAACAGCGTTCACATCAATATGTTCTAGGTAAAGCTGTCCATCTGCATCTTTCCTTGCCTTTAAGTATCTGCCACTTTTCGCTGCTCATGTCATTGTCGGTCAAAATCATTTTTACAAAATACCGTGCTCGATCCTTCTAAGAATGCATTTCATCGCTGGATATTTTTGTATTTAGCGTGCAGTAATTCCTTACCTTAAAAATTTTTTTCGTCCATTCCAGATGAAGCAGGGGGGGGGGGGGTCCGACCTCTAAAGTGAAGGGAGGGTGAGCTTTGCTCACCCTATCGCACCTAGAACATAGCTAATCATACTGGTCCTCAGCTTTCGGAGTTACGGCATAAAATAGGGAACCAGCAAAATTATCTTCAGCTAAAATGCAAGTTGTCAAAAATATACAATTCAGAGTTAGATAATGTGATAGAACAGACAACTGCATAGTATTATAAATATAATAATAGCCTGAATTTGCTTTTAGGCTCTCAAAGATCATCCAAAACCTTTAAAAGGTAACAATGACCTCTTGTCAATAACTCGTCCGGATATCATTTACAAGGTTGCTTTCCCCTCTTTCATTTCATGACTTTTTATATCCCCAATGCCTTTTCAGATTTATAAACTCCACCTGGATGCTGGAGCAGACTTTATAGAGACTGCTACTTTTTCTGGAACGACGATAGCCCAAGCTGATTATGGGACGGAGCATTTAGTCCATGAAATGAATTATCAATCAGCTTTGATCGCTAGACGAGCGTGTGATACTGTAGAATTGGAAACAAGTACTGGAATTTTTTGTTTGTTGCGCTAGAAAAATTTTAGAAACTACAGGCAGAAAATGTTTTGTGTGTGGAGGGATTGGACCAACGAATAAAACTTTGTCTATTTCGCCATCAGTGGAGAAGCCAGAGATGAGAAATATCAGCAAGTTTTAACTCATTTCTTTTCGTTTCACCTTCAGATAAATTAACACCGATCCACTACAGCATTCCAGGAACTTGTAAAAGCTTATGGGGAACAAGCGAGGGCATTGTTGGAAGGTGGTGTAGATGTTCTACTAGTTGAAACTGTATTCGATACTGCTAATGCAAAAGCTGCTCTATTTGCCATTAGAAGCTTATTTGAAGATGAAGGTGGGTCGCATTTGAAGGATGACGATTTTCTTGACAAATCAAAACCATTTAAGAAATAATGGAAGTACCTGTATTCCTTTCCGCCACCATTGTTGACCTTTCTGGCAGAACTCTGTCAGGACAAACTGGAGAAGCTTTTTTAGTGTCTACCAGACAGGTAAAAAGCTTAGAGTCATATAAATGCATTTTTCACTTTCAAAATTCAGGGAAAACCGTCAGCGGTAGGATTGAATTGTGCACTTGGAGCCAAAGACATGAGACCATTCATCGAAGCTATGGCAAACTTCTCCGAAGCCCTCATAATTTGCTATCCAAATGCGGGTAAGTTCTTTTATTCTCATTCTCACTGATTATAGCCACATCTCGCTGGAAATTTATTGAGCTGTTCATTAGCATTTGTTTATATTATCATAAATAATTCTTTTGTAAAACAAAAACAGAGAACTGGTGGTTGGTCCCTTTCCCCTTTGTGGAATAGCACGACCGTGGAATAAGAGTTTATCGACCAAAACACAAAAAAAATACAAAATAGGCAAGAACAATGAGTGAAGGCATAAAACGTGGCACCTCGAGATCGAACCAGAGAACTAAAGTGCACTTCGAATGATGCAACACCCGCACTGCCCGGGGAACACGTCACGCGCAATGTAAAATACAAAACGATACGAACAATGAGAAAAAGTGAGAAAAGGAGTATCATATCTTATTGCGGTCAGATCATCTTCTTCCTCCAGCCTTGTACACCATCTCATCTTTACAATTTATCTGCTTTCTGCGGAGCTTCTTTTAAAAGCAGCGCCCAGGACTTCTGATTAGTCTTTCTAAGACAATTGGGTAAATCTGATTAAGCTAGTGCCCAAAGCTCAGATTCGATCATGGCGCGAAATTTAACTCTAACGTCCATTATAATTCCCGAGGGCGCTGATTGGGTCCGGAAAGAATGTACTGCGAATGCGAATGAATTTGAGTACTCTAAGCACGAACGATTTATATGAGCTGCTTCTAATTTAACGACTTAATCATGGTTTACAAACCAGTTTTTATAAAGGAGATGCTCAGATGCTCAGATGCTCAGAGCCTCCAAATCAGTTTCCATATATATGGCCTCGACCCCCAAATTTGCTTGAACTCTGCTTTTGGTAGTTGTTAGGATCTTTTTTAAGAACCTATAATATTGGTTTTTCGGTCTTCCAAATGCTCTTGGTGAATATGATGAAACTCCTCAGGATATGGCTGAAACACTCAGGCAATTTGCTAAGGATGGATTGGTAAGTCTATAATGCTGTCAAAAGTCATCAGAATAGTTATAAGTTAGAAAAAAAGGAAAGAACAAATTCTAAAGGGTTGGCATATTGCAAGACCGAAATTTAGGTCAACATTGTTGGTGGATGCTGTGGGACTACTCCAAAACATATATCAGCCATTGCCAAAGCCATTAAGGTAGGTCACTTCCATATTTTGAGTTCAAAATTGAGTTCCAAAGTGATTTTAGGGTGTGCCACCCCGACAACCTCCTCCGGACCCAAATGCTGGGAACATGCTCCTGTCAGGCCTGGAAGCAATGACTGTGGGGCCGTACACTAACTTCATCAATATTGGAGAACGATGCAATGTGGCTGGTTCGAGGCGGTTCTGCAATCTCATCAAGAATGGGAACTACGAGGTAGGCAAGACTCAGCTTGGTTCCAACAAGAATTGCGAAAAGAAATATTGAGGTAGCTTCGTTCGTCCTTTTTTGATCTCCATTTGAAGGAGCTGAAACATTACGGAGAGGATTTATTTGATCTGACCCATTCCATCCCCTACGCACATTTTCTTCTAGGCTGCCATTGATGTCGCTCGAGTTCAAGTAGAAAATGGTGCTCAAGTGTTGGATATTAATATGGACGAAGGTCTTCTTGATGGACCTTATGTGATGAGCAAATTCCTTCGTCTTTTAGCCACTGAACCGGATGTTGCTAAGGTAAAGTATTAAAGCAACGACATGTCTAGAAAAATTTGTTCAGTTGGGTTCTCTGCTGGGAACTGATTAGGTAGTCCTAGCAAAGTTAGTGCCTCGGCGGCAGATCATAAATACCGTTTCTAACCGAGAAATTGGGTTTCTAACTCTCGCCCACCGTTATCTTGCAGCCGACAGATACGGTAGTGGGCAGGAGTTCAAAGTACCATTTCTGTGCCAAGGATTAAATTAATCATATAAACTACCGTTTGGGTAATGGCTTAGTTAGAGCCTCCCAATCCATATAAAAAAATCCATTCGTACATTTTTGCATAGACGCTGCCCTCAATCTTACGCACCAACATCTGCTCAAATCAATTCACTGTCTATTCCAGGTACCTGTTTGCATCGACTCATCAGACTTTGCTGTAATTGTAGCTGGCTTAGAATCAACCCAAGGAAAATGTATTGTGAATTCAATTTCCCTTAAAGAGGGCGAAGAAACCTTCAAAGAGCGAGTGAGTTTTTTTACAGAGTAAGTGACGTTTAGTTGAACTGCAGCTGTAGAGACCAATGTGATCCAAGGCTCGTCTGGTGAAAAGGTATGGAGCCGCAGTGGTGGTAATGGCTTTCGATGAAGAAGGTCAAGCAACTGATACGCAAAGGAAGTATGATATTTGTGAGAGGAGCTATAGGTAAGATTCGATGGGCTTCAAACACATAATCTCATATTCAGATTACGGTAAAACTATAAGTCTTGCTGTTTACGTTTTCTATTTTTAATGATATTTTTACGATTGGTGAACCAAGAGGTAGGAGTGGGGAAATTTTTTTGAAGTTACCTACAGAAGCTTTCTCTAAAAATCTAAAGTAGCTTTGAAAAAACTTTTTGGAGGAGTGACTGGCCATGCCCCTTCCCCAAAATTAAGGTTACAGGCCCCCGAAAGATTGGGACACATCCCAAACGTTTTCTTAGAGCTGTGGTTAGGGCCGCTAGATTGATAAAATGGGAATTTCTAAACTGTAAAATTACAAGACAAAACAAAATTCTTCTCAATACCATGACGTACGCTGCTTCCTTTGAGTCTAATTTGCCGCGGAACTGTCCTGCCCCCTTTTTGTTTTTCAACCGTATGTTTTCTAGCCTTTCAAGCTATGTATTGCAGAATTCTAACGGAGGAAGTTGGCTTCGATCCTTGTGATATTATCTTTGACCCGAATATTCTTACTATTGCTACCGGTATGGAAGAACATGCCAATTATGGGGTATACTTCATAGATGCTACGAGGATGATCAAGGTAGGACCAATTTTTTTTCAGTTGTGTGCTATGAGTGCCTTTGATTCTCAGGAGAATCTATTAGGATGCCATGTCTCAGGTGGTGTGTCCAATCTGTCATTTTCTTTCCGAGGAATGGAGGTGTGTTTCGAGCCTCAAATTCCTTCCAATGAAAGAATTATTTTACCATCTATTGAACGAAGTTTAGAATTTTAGGCCGTACGTGAAGCTATGCACTCTGTATTTCTCTACTATGCCATAAAAGCTGGTATGGATATGGGAATAGTTAATGCTGGTGCACTGCCAGTTTATGAAGATATTCCAAAGGTAGGTTTGGTAGCAAAACGCGCTTGGTCAGATATATCGAGGGTTTGGGGGGGGGGGGGTAGGAGGGCAGATAGGGGCAGAAAATGGGGAAAAAGTAAATTTGCCTAAATGAGCAATTAAATCGCGTGAGATGTAATTTTTTAGGCCTCGGGCATACTTCACGCGATTTCACTCGCGATGCAAATTTGGCATTTTTCCAAATTTTTATAACTCATCGTGGACGTATTCTAAATGTAAGAAAGTGGGGCATTACATCCGTTTACAAGAGTTATACTGGCTATGCATTTATAATTTGCCAGTGTGATATTCAAAATCTGGCAAATTGCCAGATCGCGTGGCAACTGAAATTGCGTGAAGTATGCCCGAGCCCTTACGTTATGTATAGTCGATTATGTTGGTTTGCCAGAAATTTTTAGATTCTGCAAAATTGACTATTAATGAATTTTCTGTGAAGTTTGTCTCTTTGTACCTTGTTGAATTCGAGATTTTTGGCGCAAAAGTCAGAAGATTTTTGAAAATTTCCAGAACGGCGTGCTGTCAACATGGAAAAATACTCTCGTGCCCGTGATAGGAAAAATTCCAGCTTCAATATTTTTCTGGGTTAATGTTTTGAAGTATTTTAGGATCTTCTAATCTTGATCGAAGACCTTCTGTTCAACCGAGATCCCGATGCCACGGAGAAAATGCTTGCTGTAGCGCAAAATATGAAAAAAGGTGGAAAGAAAGCCGAAAAGACGGAAGAATGGCGCAGCCTCAGTGTGGAAGAACGTTTGAAATATGCGCTGTTCAAGGTATTATCGAAAAATTGAAAAGAGAAACTACCAATTTTCCTCTTAGGGCATCGATAGCCATGTTGTGGAGGATACCGAGGAAGCACGCTGTATGACAGATAAATACCCTAGACCATTGAATGTCATAGAAAGGCCACTTATGGATGGGATGACTGTGGTTGGCGAATTGTTTGGTTCGGGCAAAATGTTTTTACCTCAGGTAACGTAACAAATGACTTTTCAGCTAGAAAAACTCAAAGTAGGCGCATTTCAGGTGATAAAATCGGCTCGAGTGATGAAAAAGGCAGTGGCACATCTCATTCCTTTCATGGATAAGGAACGAGAGGAAAATATCAAGAAAATGGGAATAAAAAGTGATGAGGTTGGTCTTCACACCTCTCCTTTCTAATAGACCTACAATACCATCGGTGCCGCCTTTAAAATTCCCGAAATAAACGCGATGTCGCGTTGAAAGCGCAACCTCATAACTCCCTTGAAAATGATTTTTAAGCAAAAAGGAGCACATATTCGGAATCAGAGTCTCTCACTCTATCTAAAGCCATAATTTTATTTTCGAAAACTCAAATTTTCCATTCTACTGGTGACGTGTAAACGTCCACGCTCCTGGGGCTTTTCAGCTCATAAGTCGCTGTATAGTCAGTAATCATTGAGATTCGCTGGTACAAATCATTAATTACATTGGAGAGGCCTTATTTCTTCTTTTTCATGAAGTTTTGGGAATCTAGAATTTTTTTATTTCAAATAAAAAAATTTACGACTTTTTGGAAAATCGCCCATTTATATCGAATTTGCTCCTTATATATCAAAACAGCCCACTTTTATATTTCAGAGCCCCTATCAAGGTACCGTAGTCATTGCTACGGTAAAAGGTGACGTCCATGACATTGGAAAAAATATCGTGGCTGTAGTACTAGGATGCAACAATTTCAAGGTGTGTAACTGCAAGTTTTTAGGGTACTGAATTTCAACAAAGATTTTCTAGGTCATAGATTTGGGCGTTATGACGCCTTGTGAGACCATAATCAAAACTGCGATTGAGGAGAAAGCAGGTGAATTATTTATTTCATACCTTAGAGAGGGTATGCTATTGAATTAATTAATTAATTAATTATTTTTTTCGTGAATCCCACGTAAAGCACCAGACTTTTGAATGTCAAATATTTTTACAGCTTTAACTCAAAGATTCTGTATTTATCATTTTAGGGATGTAAAGATACACGTGTATAATCGCTTTGCAAAACCATTTTCGCGATTCAGACTTTGTTGGTTGTTCTGGACTGATCACACCTTCACTGGATGAGATGGTCCATGTGGCAAAGGAGATGCAGAGAAATGGATTGAAAATTCCACTGCTTATTGGTAAGCCTATATAATATTATCCCAAAATATGGTTATTGAAGAAGGCAACTCTACAAAACTAATATTGAAAGTTGGGGTTTCATGTCCCCTACATCCGTCTTCTCGAGAACGGAAAAGCGAGATATTTGACGACTGCAAAAATGTTTGATGCGATGTGGCCCTAAATTTTGGCACGGGTGTTTGCTATAGCTCAAAAAAGAGTTCTGGAGATTAGAAAGCACTTTTTTTGCAGAAAATATCTCATAAGCGCCATGAGTCTTTCGCCGCAGATATAATCAGAAGCATAGAGCGCTAGGTGTACGGAATGGACGTCATTGCGGACTGTCTGCGTCTCTTGCAAGTACACAGTCCCGCGTGTGTTTTGCAACGATGCTCGTTTCTTGCATGGACTACCTGACAGCTTTTCCAACAAATCATGTTAAATGTTTAGGAGGTGCTACAACGTCCAAAACTCATACAGCTGTCAAAATTGCACCGCGTTATAGTGGTCCCGTTATACACTGTTTGGATGCCAGCAAGTCCGTCGTTGTGGTGAGAATTTCTGAGTTTGTTTGAGGGCTCCGTAAGTTTCCAAATTTCACATCTTTTCCAGTGTTCTGCACTCACAGACAAGACAACAAGGGAAGCATTCCTGGCTGACATTATTGAGGAATACGAAGAAGTGCGACAGGAACACTACGAAACACTCAAGGATAGACGTTTTACTCCCATTGATGTCGCTCGATCTAAGGCATTGCGTGTTGATTTTGATGAATTTCCCCCAGGTAACTTCTTTTATTTTTTTCGCGAGAAAATCGAGTAAGTCATTGCAGTAAGGCCCACATTCATTGGACGCAGAGAATTTTTGGACTTTGACCTCAACAAGCTCGTCCCATACATCGACTGGAAACCATTCTTTGATGTTTGGCAACTCAGAGGGAAGTATCCGAACCGATCATATCCACGAATTTTTAAAGATGAGCAAGTTGGAGCTGAAGCGAAGAAAATTCACGATGTAAGTATTGTCTCTCTAATGTATGTAGTGTCGAGTTTGTAACTTGATATGCACTACAGACCATGCGCGCAATTTCACGATTTGTCAGAAGAAATATCTGTTGATTTTCGGAAATTTTCCCTTGTTCTCTTCTCTCTTTCGGTTTAGCACACATTTCCACATTTGCTCCGTTAGAAAATGTTTTACTGAAGAATTACTAGTAAACGTCGTTGCTGCTGCGCGCAGTGTGCAAGCACACATATCGAATTGCAAGGGACTCGCACAGTCTGTTTCAGTCGTAGTGCCTTTCCACCGGCGCGTCCCGCGCAAGAACATTGCTCTTCATTGCGGGTATATCGCCTATGCAGTCAACACGGTCCCACAATCAAAGTTCAACACGCGCGGTTCACGCGCTGCAGACGAGTAATTTTCGCGCAAAAGAGACTCTGCAGTTGGGACAGTCTCTACACATGCATAGCGTTAATCGTTTATGGTTGTATTATCAACAGCCAATGCAAGCGGTGATTTGTAACAAGTAATTCAAGCTATCTATTCAAGTTTTGTCAAATTTCCAATGTGATTCAGAGGCGTTGCAACCGCGCCGCAGGCATGTAAGCAATTCGCGATATATCTGCGCTCATACTATGCGCGCAAAATGTTTATTGCAGGGATTTCTTCTTAGCTGAATGGTAACCCCAATAGTGCCTTTGATACATGTTTAGTTAAGCGATTGAAAAATTCAGGACGCCCAGAAATGGCTGAGCAAAATAATCAAAGAGAAGAAGCTCAAGGCAAATGCTGTCATAGGATTTTATGAGGCTGGTTCTCAAGGCGATGATATTCATGTAAGATTTGATTTACTTTGGCAGAGGTCATAAATCTCATTCTTCGATATTCCCAGATTTTCGAAAATGGCGTAAAAATAGCAACATTCTATGGATTGCGGCAACAATGTGGACGTGAACATGATCAGCCACATATTTGCATGAGTGATTTCGTCAAACCTCTAAAGCTTGGTAATTTCCTTTGAAAAAATTGTTTTTTTTTGTCAATGCTATAGGGGTAAACATTGAATTCTACGCCGAATATGTTCAAGTTAGACGCAGGCAATGCACAGTGTAAGGTTCATTTATAAAATCGTGACGACGGGTTTGACTGCAGTCTTTGCGCCCCTAGGGGCATAACACCCTCATACCCAGGGCCCGGCACCGATGGTTTGGGGTCAAACTGGACTTCGTTTTGGGAGTTAGAAGCAACGGGGACATCGTTTTTATGAGGTCCTGGAGGAAGCGCCAAAAACACGACGAACATGTCAGGTTTCACGAGTTGAACGTGTTCTTTCGCAAGCGCGCGATTTCAAATGCAAGACTCAAACAAACAAATGGCTTGTTTACAGCGCACAAACAATCACATGGCTCCGAATTTGGGCTATGAGTATACAATATTACTCCAAACTATGTTATGTAAAAAGTTCCCAAAACTCATGTGTCTGAATATCCGTTCCGGATTTGTTGGTTTCTAGACCAACCACCGAACCAACTGGGTTGGTTCGGAGCATAAATTTCGGAGAGTTCACATAAGTTTTGGACCTTTTTGATTTGGACGATTAAAACGCACAAAAATCTTATATATAAAGCTGAATGTCTGTCTGTCTGTCTGTCTGTATGTATGTATGTCTGTACGTATGTTCCGAATAGAAAATTCCATTTCTGAACCGATCCGGACCAAACTTGGCACACATACACTTCGGGCCCCGGCGGGTGTCATAGGCTACTTTTCGTCATCGATCAATATCGATTTTATTGATTTTTATCGATTTTTTTGCTGAGTTCACCTACGGGGCTGGGAGTTGGCACAGGGGGGTAATCGAGCATGGGGATTCCGAATACAATATTGGTTTTCAGGATTATCGATTACTTTTATCGATTTTATCGATTTTTTTGCAAAGTTTGAGCTACGGGGCTGGGAGTTGGCACAGGGGGTTAATCGAGCATGGGGATTCCGAATACAATATTGGTTTTCAGGATTATCGATTACTTTTATCGATTTTATCGATTTTTTTTGCAAAGTTTGAGCTACGGGGCTGGGAGTTCGCACAGGGGGGTAATGGAGCATGGGGATTCCGAATACAATATTGGTTTTCAGGATTATCGATTACTTTTATCGATTTTATCGATTTTTTTGCAAAGTTTGAGCTAGGGGGCTGGGAGTTGGCACAGGGGGGTAATCGAGCATGCTGATCATCCCCAAGGGGGGTGATCAGCATGCTCGATTACACCCCTGTGCCAAATTCCAGCCCCTAGCTCAAATTTTCAAAAAATCGATAAAATCGATAAGAGTAATGGACGATCCTGAAAACTAATATTGTGTTCGTAATCAGCATGCTCGATTACCCCCCTGTGCAAAATCCCAGCCTCGCATGTCAAAATTTACAAAAAATCGATAAAATCAATAAAAGTAGTCGATAATTCTGAAAACTAATATTGTATTCGGAATCCCGATGCTCACTTCCCCCCCTGTGCCAACTCCTAGCCCTGTAGGTGAACTCTGCAAAAAAATCGATAAAAATCGGTAAAATCGACACCGATCGATAACGAAAAGTGGACTGTGACACCCGCCGGGGCCCGAAGTGTATGTGTGCCAAGTTTGGTCCGGATACGGCGGAGCCGGGTAAGCCAGCTAGTCTATTATATAGTGAAGAGAGCGAATCAAACTATTGCCTCTCCTCTTCTTTTAAGCCAAAAGTAGTGCAAATCTAAACGCTTTGATAGATATTGCGCTCCAATCACACGCGGTGTCCTTTGAACTATGTGGCGAGAAATGCAGTGCCAGATAGTTGAGGCCACAGATTTGGTTGGCCTAGGAGGTTCTCGACATTCTGAGCGCTAAAATGGTACACTACTCAATGACAGAGCCTTTAATCAACTCGAAATGTTTTCTTTTTGCTTTTTTTTGTTGTATTAGTTACCTCAAAGTGCGCTTTTTCCGCTTTTTTAATGTTATTTTGACTAATTAAGGGTTTCCCTACTGATTTTTACGTCAAGAGGGACTTCGTAAATTTTCGCGAAGTCATGGGGGACTTCGTTTCCAGAAACGCTTCAAACCAACGCGTGCCGGGCCCTGCTCATACCCTCAAAGAGAAAGGCATCTCCTCGACGCTCAGCTCATTCACTTCCAGTTGTACTATCATACTTAAGCAGACAAACCAGTCGAGTAGAGATTAAAACCAAGAAAATGCAGTTGTCGGAAGCTGCTTGCGTGTCGCGCGCGGTCGCGCCATCGTCACTACTTTCGAGTGCTCCATACCAGTCGCTATGGGCGGCTCGTTTCTTAGTTTTAAATTGATCATCTTGCAACAGAATTGTGAAAATTTGCCATAAAAGTTCAATTAAACGTTTCGATTTCTATTTACACTATTCTGTTTTATAAGGTACATGGAAATGTTAAGTAAAAAAACTTGAAAGTCACGACTATGTACTTGTAGACGCATCCGATCAGCACCAATTTTCCTTACCTGAACGGAGTTAGTCATAAAACCAAAATCTAAAGAAAATTAAAATTCGTTGAGCCTTTGAGCAAGCATCTTTACAAAAATTTGAAAATTATGTTTCGAATCTTTCTGTTCATCAGCTAGTATTCCCGTGACATGTCGGTACATTATCTTCTGTTTCCAAGCACATTAAACTGAATAAACTTGTGACTAGGAAATTACGGGTAGGGGAACAAAAGCCGCCAGTTTGGTCCGCTTCCGCGAACTGGTGGTCCTGGAACGACGTGCAACAACACTGCAAAAGGACTAGTTGGCCGCGAAAGGCGGCTCAAACTGGCGGCCTTCGTTCCCCTACCCGGGAATTGCCATTTCAGAATTTTGGTGAAACGCCAAAAAGTGCGAATTTTTTCAAAATATCGCCAGCGTTCATCCCTAAAATTTTGGAGGAAAATGGGGCGCTACCCGATTAATTCTGCTGGCATGGATAATCCAAATCATTTAATGTTTCAATAATCTACGGATAAAAAATTTCATTCTTCAAGGCCGATGTCCCAATATTGCAAGTTTTCTCTCTCTGCGGTCCCGTAGACAATACGCTGCGCGCCGCACTGTGCATTGTGTGCGTCCATGAACTTTACCGCAAAACAGAACACAAAACACAGAAGAATTCTATCTATATGTTTAGTTTTGAGTTAGCAGATGTCATTTGTTTTACTTATATGGATTCTTAATTGCTTATTTGTTTTTATCTCTTTTGTATTGTTACGTTGATATACTGCACAATAATCTCTCTAGGCCTCCCATTGGACTATATGGGTATGTTTGCATGCAGCGCTGGCATTGGTGCTGAAAAGTATTGCAAAGAACTGGAAGCTGACCATGATGACTATGGAAGCATTATGGTCAAGGTATGCCAACTACGATTTCTCTTCACAAATCACCGTTCCCCATCAAATAATTTCATTTGATGCTTGATGTCCCATGCGCAGAAAATGAGACTTCATTCGAAAATTTGAGTGAATCTTGGATTTGATCAGGGCTTTAGTCATCTACGCAGAGATAGGGTGCCACTGCAGACTCGTCTGCGCCTCCCTGATCGCGCGCTCTTTCATCCTTCCTGCCGTCTGCAGTCTTTTGTAAACACGAACTCTCTTTCATCCTTTCTGCCGTCTGCAGTCTTTTGTAAACACGAACTATCTCGATCTGACGCAACAACCTAGTTTTCGCTTGTGGTGACGTGCCTATACATGTTACCCTGAATCGTTCTAGGCCCTTGCTGATCGTCTGGCTGAAGCGTTTGCCGAATATTTGCACCGCCTAGTTCGAATCGACCTGTGGGGATATTCGAAAGACGAAGTAAACATTTTTTGAGATTATTCACATGCTCACCTTGAGACGCTCAAATGTAATAAAGAGCATCGAAATTTGTTGTTCAACGCAAAATTGGTAATTGCGTTCGATAATTTAGGACCTGAGCCCCGCCGACTTACTGGCAGTTAAATACCATGGAATAAGGCCTGCTCCTGGTTACCCAACCCAACCAGATCATACTGAGAAGAAGACGCTTTGGAATGTGCTTAAGGTAGAATATTGTGATATTACAGTGCAGATGCAGTTTCACGGTAGCGCCTACCGTATGCGCAGGGTTTGGTCGTAATTACGTTAGCAAGAGAGGGGAGAGTGGGAGGGGAAGGTGGAGGTATAACGCGGAACGCGCAGCGATTTCATTACGAAAATATCATTCCTACAATTAAGAATGGATGATTGGTCAAAAATTTCGGTGTATTTCGTTTGAGAAAGATACCACTGTGGCTAAAATAAGAGTTCACAGCGTGTGTCAATCACGTACCCCTTTTACATCGACACAGTCGCCATGCCGCAGCTTCGCGACACGTTCGTACGCGTGTGGCTTGAGCATTCAAACTGGTCTCTCTTATTGGAAGTCCATGCGCAAGACCTTCGCGTTGCGGATGCATGATTCTTACGCAAGGGGCGTATAAACGTGATTGCCACAGACTGTACTATCGCGAATCAATTAAGGATATATATTTATAGGCAGACTATTGTGGATTGCAATTAACTGAGCATCTTGCTATGCTTCCAGCTGCCTCTGTCAGCGGATTGTACTTTGCCAGTCCAGCTAGCACCTACTTCGCCGTGGGAAAGATTGACAAGGACCAGGTAAGAATTGGATTGATTATCCGCGAAAACTCCTCAAATAGATTTTAATTATTTCAGGTGGAAGACTATGCGGCACGAAAAAATATGACTCTAAAAGAGATGGAACAATGGTTGTCAACTACGTTAGGCTATAATATGGAAGATCAATAGACTTTTTATTGTTTCAGTTTATTAGTTCAGGTTTTCTGGAATTCTATAGGAATGAGAATGTAGCTTACAGCTGTGATTTCAAAGTTCTGTGCAGCTTTTATTGTTATGTTGTTGAGATGTTGAGACATTCTAAATCGTTAAGCTCATATCACGCTTGAAACACCTCACTCCTGGAAGATTGTGATATTTTGTAGCTAATGTGTTTTTTTCGGTCAAAAACCTTCTAGAATGGAACGCATGTGATGTAAGGATCTGGGCTGCTCAGTTTCAGTAGATTATATGAATAATAAAACTGCTCAACATGTTTGTATTGGACAACATACATTTCCAAGAACTCAGATTAAGGAGCGTCCGATGAAATTTTTCCTCTTTTTAGAGGAAGCAATATATCTCAAAAATATTAGGTTGATGCAAAACTAATGACCGTTTGCGACTTGTCAAAAATTCACATTCCTGAATGCGGTGAAAATGATCAGAAGCAGCAAACCTATGGCAATGCAGCGCACATTTATTTGCACTCACGTCACAAAACGTAAAAATATGGACTAACAAACAAAAAAAATTTTTTTTTCAAGAACATGTCTTTGGCAATTCATGAATTCCTTCAAAGTATGTTAGCATGAATGGATAAGTGGTCTATCTTGTAGCCGCAAGCCCATAGTACAAAATACGACGGAAAGGGTTTGGAGAAAAAAATTACGAGAAGAAAAAAGTCAAAATTCATATTTTTTTGCACATTTTTTTAGTATCCCTCAAAGTCGCGATTATAGAATTTTCTGACTCTGCGTACTGAGCAGGCTATCTCAACCTGGATAACTTCAAAAAAATACAGTTAAGTATGCATAATGTAGACAATTTCTTTATCATACTATAGTTGAATTTTCGAAGAAGCGCCATTCATATGCGCTCGAATTCTGGCTAGAATAAGTGATTGCAATAAAATTCGGAATTCGGAAGCGGTTATTTGAAGATCAGTAACTTTATAACGGATGAGGTTGGAAACTCACTTCAACAACCTTTAAGCAGAGAACAAAAACAGCTTATCAAAGGCATGTTACTTTTATTTCAAAGAAGAAATTTTGATCGGAAGAAGTTGCCCTGAAATAGGGCTTGAAAAACCGACCATTGTTTTTGCATCATCCTAACAATTTACCCGATCTCAAAAACCTGACAAAAAGGCATCCTGCCGCAATGCTCAGCTTTTTTCTGCCCTACTCCGGAAAAGCTTGTATCAACTTGAACAAATTCCCGATCGAAGATCAGGAATCTGTTCAAGTTGTTTTGGAGTAGGGCAGAAAAAAGCTGACGTGAGCATTGAGGCAGGATGCCTTCTTTTGTCAGGATTTTGAGATGGGTAAAATGAGCATTGTGGCAGTTTCCTTCAGCTGAATCCCACATTGCTCCAGCTACTTCCATTGCAACCGAATTAAGTTGAGATAATGTAGTAAATGAAGTATCTATAAAAGATAAAGATGTTTCTCCAGTTCACAATTTGGTGTTTCCGCATTTCAAACCTTGGTAAATCCATTTACCCGCCGAAATTTCAGGTGCTGCAAAATTAAAAAAATTGCGCTAAATTACATCATGTAAATGGCATAACTGAAAATGGAACTAGCGTTTCAGGGTAATAGAATTCTTGTTTCGAAAACCAAAAGATTGCATGCTTGTGAGATCGATAAGATTTCATGCAATCGTTCTCTTCTTCTGAAATCTGGCATCCCGACAAAAGGATAGAATACAGCCAATGACAGTTCTGGAAAACTTCCTTAGAGCGGGAGGGAATGAGGATGATTTCATATTTTTCTATTGAAGGGCACGTCTTCAAAAAACCTGAGAACCTCTGAGATGACCTTCGAGTTCACTGCCGGCCTGTAACGCCAAAATTTCAAAAAGAAAAGAGAGGAAGTAACCAGGTAGATTTCTCCATAAAGATTTGATTATGACTCCTAACAACATTCAAAAATTCATTTCACTCCCTAAGCAAAAACGTGACTTGTATACTTCAATGACAATTTGTCCTTTGATCACAACTTTAGTCTTCGATGACCATGGTGTAGTGCCAGTGTTGGCTGCTCACAGCCATAAGCTAACGAGTTCGAGTCCCGGCGATTTCGGTCAGCAGCATTGGGCGTTCCCGTTGCTGCGGCCATTCCATTACGAATTATCGCCAAAAACAAAGCAATTTGCGTGTACCGCAGACTAGAACGTCGTTTGTGGTTCCTAAATAAGTTGCGACATTTTCAGAACACTTGGTTCCGTAGAAGAAGAGAAGAAGATGAAGACGAAGAGCTGTATGAGTGCCTGTCGAAAAATTAGCTCATGGATCATCTTATATATAAAGCTGAATGTCTGTTTGTATGTCTGTATGTTGTAAGCGTAGGCGCATGAAGATGTGCAAGCGAGAAGCTATGTTGTGAGAACAAGATATAAAGCTTAGATAAAGACAAAGTATGTCATGAGAATGAGATAAACTGTTACAGATATGAGGATGATATGCATTCCACGCTATGGTATATAATCTACCACCACAATCACAAGCCGACTAGTCCACCACCACAAGGAGTCTTCCCACCTGGCAGGCCACTGGACGGCCGGACCCGACCGTGCTCACCGTCTCCCGCTGATGCGGACCTCCATCTGTGTCCTCCACCGACCTACGCCATGGATTACCATTGTGATCTATCATGTTACTATTCCTGATGTACCCTCTATGTGATGTACCGATAAACCTGATACCCGCTCTTATATTTGTTGCTGTTGGATCACACGCTTCCACGGCGCTACGCTTACTGGTAGCAGCGAGTGTCTCCGCTTCAAGGAAACGGTGAGTTTTTTCCATTGGACCTGATGGTCCCCCTGCCAGTAGCCTCGTAGTTCCGGGAATTTGTTTCCGATGTTTTCTTGTTCACCAGACCTGTAGATTTTAGTCCGACCCCATTGGGGTCGTGAGCCAAAGCGGGCGATATCGCTTAAGGTCGGAAGACTCCTATGTGTTCGAGCCAAGACTGGTCATCTTGGCGGCCTTGTGGGCTGTGAGCCAAGGAGCAATACCACCCAAGGTCTGAAGGACTTAAAAAAAAGAAAAAAAACAAAAAAAACTTTTCGAAAAAGGATATTCGTTTTTTAATTTCTTTCTTCCGTAGGACCTAAGGCGCCAAGGTCTTGCGAATTCTTCATTTTTCGCAAATTTCGAAAACGTTTTTCCTTTTTCTTACTTTTTTAGCGCGCAGAAAGTGATAGAACGCCACCCGTAGTTTAGATAAGCGTTAAAGTGATGTGAGCCCAGCGGAGCCGGCAGTGAAGTGAGTGATGAAAAGTGCATTCCCCTGCAGGGATAGTTGAAATGCGGACCTTTTTTTTGTATTATTTAGCAAAGTGATGTTCTGGTGTACAGGGCTCCGGCGTTCGCCCATGAGAGTGAAGTGTAGCGCAGTGAAGCGCAGCTGGGCAGGTAAGTGCAAAGGTATGTTTTGTCCGCATGTCGTTCCAGCAGTTTTATGCTGGGTAGCCCCAAATTTGTAGCTCGAGCTCAGTTTTATTCTTTTCGGGTAATTTTTTTTATGTCTTTTGCTAATACGCGTGCTCGCGTCCCACTCCGTAGACACTTGACATATTTATCGAAGGCTTGCTGGCTCTCAATTTATACAGCCCCCCTCCATTTGTAAGAACACTCTTAACTCCCCTCTAGTATGTTTTCTCAAACATGAGCAGCCTGCCCGCCACGTTCGCGTAAGCCCAACCAAATGTAAACATAGCCAACAAGGATGACAACATTGCAGATCGCGTAAAGATACGACAGCATCGGCGATGGCAGCCTACTTTCAGTGAGTTCTCTTACTTTGGCCCTGATGGGCTCCCTGCCCGTATACTCTTACCATGAAGCTTATTTGAAACAGCTTTATTGGTGTTTTCTACTTGTTTTATTCATTTCGCCAACCGAGTTAAGACTGCTAAATTCCCTTCCTGTTTCTTGACCCCTCTACCTTATCTGTATTCTTGAATAACACTTTTCTCTCCTTCCACCGGCTGGCTGTGATAGAGGCGATCCTCGTTACGATGAGTTTTTCGTTAAATTTTCGACCACGACCACATACCGCCTCACAACACCTACAAGCAATGCACACAACAGCAGCTGCCAATCTTCTGTTTACTGACGACACCCGCGATTGAAGACTATCCGCAACAAGGCACAATTTCCAACAACCCTTTTTTCCGTCACCCATCGGAAGGGTGCTCCTAGTCTGTATAAAGCGTAATCACGAATTTCGATCTTCTCATCACTAGGAAAAACATCCCAAACAAAACGAAAGCGCAACCAAACTTTTCTCATGCTCGGCTTTACATGTTGTTGGATACCAAGATCGCGCTCTCTGCGTGCCATCGACAACCTTCCCGCACATTCTCTTCGCTACATAAGGGATCGTCAGTTCTGTTTTGAGAAATGTTTGCATTTCATGTTATCTCTTCTTCCTCTATGTAAGATACGCATTCCAGCACACATTACTTTTCTCGCAATTTACTTTTGTTGTTTGGTTACTAATTGCACATCAGCCACCTGTAATTTTAGATGTTTCGCTTTTGCCATTATTTTTAAGCGTGTTCATATTTCAGGTGCTCATGAGCCCTCTGACAGTCAGGCCGTGACGGTTAAGGAACCGAAGGACGCAACAACGGAAGCCTTACTCACCCCTGTCGTGATTACTCTCCTTCAGTGGCGTCTCGCCGTCACAACCATTTGCATAGCGGCTGCGTCGCCTTGATTGGGAAATGCGATTGCGTAAGATAGTAACATCTCAAGACAAGGTTAATTATCTCATTGATGGTCTCCCCATCCGTATCCTCCTAACCAATATACATTCTATGTCGTGCTACGGACATCCATCTATCTCGCTTTGCCTGCGCTCGTGCCGTGTTTCATGAAAAAACTCTCAGCTCCACTCGTCTCGCAATTATCGCAACGCCACAAGCAAGTCGCAAAATATGCTTTTTAGTTGCTGGGTCTGGCAGAAAGTCCGGTCGCACGCGAAATTTCCAACCCGTACCTCCATCTTCTAAGAGTTCTGCTGGTCCCCAACCCGCAGTCTCTTTAGATTAAATCTTTTTATTCTCAGCGTCTTCGCCTGCACCAGTAGACTATAAGGATCTTCGCAAAGATTATTGCCACACACGCATATTTTCAACACTTTCACCCGACATGCATGCAAGCACAGCTACAGCCGCGCAGTCCCACGGTGGACCTGGTAGGCACGAACCAGTACCCTCTTGAGCAACATCATCCGGAGATAGATGCACAAGTACTACTGCCATCCCGCCATATCGCAATGACCCAGGTATGCAGGAACCAGTACCCTCCTCAGGTTAGCTTTACAGCGTCGTGATCGGCGCCTATGCCAGTATACTCTTCCGACAGCCTCAATGGTTGATATCGCTCGTGCCCAACCGTCACTTTTAAGCAAATACACCTCATACAAACAGCGAAAGTAACTCCTCGTTGCTTTTAGAAACTGTAGAAGGCGCCGAATAACACGGTTAACTCGTTGGTTCAGCCCTGCACCCGTACACTCTCAGCCCCCCAGGAGGGAACCCTCCTCGCCGCCCCCCCCCCCACCCCGGTTTCGCAGCCTGTCCCTATTCGCCGCCAGCTTCCTCAGCTCCCTAGCGAAACCCCGTCCGACCTCACCCACCCACTTATCCACAATCACCCATGGGCTCACGCTGTCTGCCCTCGCAAATTGTTCCACCCCCCCCCCCCTCCGCACACCCTCGGGTCCACCCACTGGAATCCCCCAATTTGATCGACGTTTCAATCACGTAGTGCCGTCAAATGTACTGTAATTGCAAGCCGCAACATTTTGTAATTCTTCCCCTTGCCTTTATCAACCACGGCGTCAGTCTCGCAAAACGAGATTTGTCTATCACGTTCCCCGCGACACAATAGTTGTTGCCTTTGACAATCGACCCCGCATGATACAGTGTCAAACCTGTTGCAACCCCATCTTTGCCCCGCGCACCCCAAAACACAACTATGCGATTTCATGCTTTTCGCCCGCAAATGTCTTGCTTAGGCAACCCTCCACCACCCAAAGCGTTCCAACCCACGCGTGTATGCTAACGAGCCGTACACAATCAGTCTCTACGCTCTCACCGATGTGTTCTAAGTAGCCTTTGACAAATGAACACTGCTCCCACTCCCGAGCGTCACTGCACAATGAAACCGAGTCACATCACTCTGCTTTGTAGAGTTAGTTTCGTGCCAATTGCAGTCGCTCCCATAACCCATCGGCAAGTATCCCTCCACTGCAAGCTGTTGCATCTCCATCCTATTCTGTCCTCGCTGTCAGCACAGTCCTTAAGTCCGAGGACGGACTTACGGGTAAAAAGGGGAGGTGTAAGCGTAGGCGCATGAAGATGTGCAAGCGAGAAGCTATGTTGTGAGAACAAGATATAAAGCTTAGATAAAGACAAAGTATGTCATGAGAATGAGATAAACTGTTACAGATATGAGGATGATATGCATTCCACGCTATGGTATATAATCTACCACCACAATCACAAGCCGACTAGTCCACCACCACAAGGAGTCTTCCCACCTGGCAGGCCACTGGACGGCCGGACCCGACCGTGCTCACCGTCTCCCGCTGATGCGGACCTCCATCTGTGTCCTCCACCGACCTACGCCATGGATTACCATTGTGATCTATCATGTTACTATTCCTGATGTACCCTCTATGTGATGTACCGATAAACCTGATACCCGCTCTTATATTTGTTGCTGTTGGATCACACGCTTCCACGGCGCTACGCTTACTATGTCTGTCTGTGTGTACGTATGTTCCGAATAGAAAATTCCATTTCTGAACCGATCCGGACCAAACTTGGCACACATACACTTCGGGCCCCGGCGGGTGTCATAGCATGGTGATCACCCCCGTGGGGGTGATCACCATGCTATGACAAATCCCAGCCCCCTAGCTCAAATTTTGCAAAAAATCGATAAAATCGACATCAATCGATAACGAAAAGTGGACTGTGACACCCGCCGGGGCCCGAAGTGTATGTGTGCCAAGTTTGGTCCGGATCGATTAAGAAATGGAATTTTCTATTCAGAACATACGGCGGAGCCGGGTAAGCCAGCTAGTTGTCCTATACAGATAAGTGTAAATAGAGCAGTGAATCTGCTTGACGTACAACACTACTTACCTGTCATATAATTAGCATAATTTCTGCACTATGGAAAACATAGTAAATTCCAATTACAACACTACTTACCTGTCATATATTTAGCATAATTTCTGCACTATCACAGTAAATTCCAACCGGGTGGAACAACGAACACCTCAAGTAGGCACCGTCTCCGCGGATTGCTGGTCCCAACACGATACGCAAATCAACTCGCTCGCTCGCGGAGCACAAAGGGAGCGCGAGGGAGCGCGCACTTTCACGCCAGGATAGCGGTAACTGGAATTTTCTTAGGTATACGTTTCCACAATGTTCCTAGTCTATCTCTATATTAATAAAACTCAAAAATTGTCAGTTTGGAGGGTATGTGCGTTATAGAAACGGGCGCTGCTCAACCGATCCAGCTGAAACTTTGCACACTTATGTTTTCGACACCTGCGCAGATAATAGGCTTATTTTTGCGGCGATTTGTTAAGCCATTTCATTGATTTATTGATTTTTAGCACTTTGCAACAAAAATGAATTCTTTTCATTTGCTATTCAAACACTTTAACGTAAGCATTAGCGGGAGGGTTCATTCTCATTTCGCACTGAAGGCAGTGTCCAGGCAAAAACTCGGTTTCTAGAAAACCCACTTACCGGGGGTTATCCACAATGCTGAATCCGAAAGTCCCCATTAGGGCGCGAAAACGGCGAGAACATACGTTTTCCAAAGCGCACAATTTGAAATTCCGAGGTCCTCACCAAGGCAGAGACGCAGAGTCGCTGCGGATCCTACATTTTAGGGTTGTTTCAGACTGCCGCACTGACTGCAGCAGACTGCAGCAGACTGCAGCTGACTGCACTGACTGCAGCAGTCTGCAGCAGACTGCAGCTGACTGCAGCTGACTGCAGCTGACTGCAGCTGACCGCACTGATCGCACCGGTCGCAGCCTCTTTACTTAAAAGAAAAAACAACCGCGATTATCAAAACAGCGTGATTTACGCATAAGAAGATCATAAGCTCCATCAGAACTCTTCTCAATCAAATTTTGGCGATAGTTTTCTTTCGTATGTTCGTATTTGTTCTAATTTCTCCTATCATTGCATATACCTGTTTTGTAACATTCTAAACCGTGTTGCATTTTGCTTTTACGTATATATTGTTGTCGTTTGTTTTAACCACAACTATTTATCCTCTCCGCCTGCAGGATTCAGCCGCAGCGGTCGTTGCGGTCAGTGCGGTCAGCTGCAGTCTGCTGCAGTCTGCTGCAGTCAGTGCAGTCAGCTGCAGACTGCTGCAGTCAGTGCGGCAGTATGAAACAACCCTTAACAGTGGCGGCATGCGTACTCTGCCGCATAGCAGGAATTCGAACAGCTTGGAGGATCCCGCCCCTAGGCGTAGTTTCCCCACTTTCCGGTCGTTTTTCTTGCTTTAGGTCGAGCGTTATGACATCGCACTTGCGCGTGTTGTGTCTGAGAGGGACAACTCTCGCATGGCACTTCCCAAAACCCCCATCTTGCCCGGACACTGCCTTTAAGGGATGCGGCGGCACAAGGCTGTAGCAGCTGAGCCTGCTCCAAGTTTGCATCGCAGTATGCGTTAACTGAGACAACGCCCGGGTACACTGGGAATGCCAGCTTGTATATAAATAAAACTCAATGGCTGTAAGTTCCGGTTTATTTGTCTATGTTTAATAGAAATGTCTGCTGTTGAACCGCTGAAACTTTGCACACTCGTGTATTCGACCCCTGCGCAGATTATAGGCTACTTTTTGAAGCGATTCGCAGATTGCATTTATTGATTTATCTATTTGTTTAATTAAATCTAAAAAAATGGAAGCCTCTCACACGTTAACCAATCATTTTCCAAAAACATGTAAGCAGGGGCGGTAAAGCTCATCCTAATCACAGAGTCGGCAGGATGTGGCAATTTGTTTCAAAGCGCTTTTCACGCATGGTAGAAGGAGTTTGAAAGAGTAAGTGACCTAGCCTTTTGGCACGAGTTTAATCTCGGGTGGGAGCGGGATCCTACCTATATTTTCAGGCATTAAGGAAATAATGATGCTTTTTCAGAGAATAAGCCTAAAGTTCCCAATCGTGTGTTGGCTTCGCCCAAATTTTATTTCTGTGCAATTGCACACATCCCTTCTAGAATTACTGGACTATATGCAGCGTAAGGAAGGTGCCAGAGTAAACGAATATGTTCAAGTTGGGGTCCCGAGCAGAATTGACGTCACTTGGATTGACGCCAGCATGGTAAGTGACGTTCATTCTGCGCGGGACCCCAACCCGAACAAAATATTCGCTTACTCTGGCACCTAATTACCAGAGTAAGCGAATATTTTGTTCAAGTTGGGGTCCGGCGCAGAACTGACGTCACTCACCATGCTGGCGTCTCAAGTGACGTCAATTCTGCGCGGGACCCCAACCTGAACAAAATATTCGCTTACTCTGGCACCTACCTCTGGTACCTACCTAAGAGTAGGCATCTTCCTATCAACCTATGCAAGAAAGAGAAGGAAACAGAGTTTTAAGAAAAATATGATCTACGACTTTGTATCGACGGGATATTGCACGGTTTTTGCACTACACGAAGACCAGGTGCAGTTTCATTCATCAACTGCGATTGGCGATTTTTCACGTGAAAATACTATTCTAGAAACTTTTTTCAGTCTTGGACGGAACTAGGAATATCCGCGTTTTAGCTAGCTTTACCGCAGCCAGAACTGATGACTGACAACTTTATGAATGCTGTTTATACTAGTCACTCGCTTACAGAGGTACGAATACAAGCTAATAATGGTTTTCTTGAAATTGATTTGTTTTTTTTTCGCGAAGTATCTGAGAATACGACAGTTTATACTCATACCCTATTTATCATCTTATTCCAGAAAATTGCTTTGCCCCAAAGATCGACATTACGAGTAGATAACGAGAATGTTTACATGCTAGGAGATTTGGAGGTGACTGCCAGCGGTTTGTTTAAAAGCATGCAGTTAGACATTCGTTTATACTCAATTACATCTTTTGGGCTTCTAAACTGAAATGACTTTTACTACTGAGTATTTTCCTACCGCTCAGGTTCGACGACACAACGGCCTGTTCTGGCACCTTTATCATAAGAAGACCTGTGTTCTTCTAACATCAGGACATTTCCTTATCTACAGGTCCTACATTTACTTGGTAGTATTGGCGAAAAGTGAGCATTTTCAGCTCTCCATTTCATGGTCTATGTGTTTACCTACCCGCACTTCACAATGTCACCCATCGATTTTCCGGAAATGAAGGCACTGGAAGTGAGGTTAGTATCTGTTGTGTTCAAAAACAGAATTTATCTATATATTTATCTATCTGATCTGATATATAAAGAATCGTAAGCGCAATTCAAAAATGTGCAAATAGCGGGAAACCGCGTGGCGTCCCGAAGCGAACGCTCTCAAATAGCACCTTTAGATTACTGGTTCACTAGTTTATATGTAAAGAATCGTTGTGCCTCTACAAAAAGGGTGAAGTTGCGGGAAACCGCGCGTTTCCCGCAGCGAACGCACCTGCAAATCTACCACACTTACTGGTACACAGCCATGCACGTGAGCATGTGGGTGTATAGAATGTCTCATTGCATTGGAGTCATCCTTAGCGACTCAAGCCTTTGCAGCCGCCCGCGCAGGTGTTGTGCTGCTTTCGCGATGGAAAGTTCCCGCTCTCCAGCTCTCTCACTCACATTGAAAGAGTCTATAGTCTTGTGGAGGAAGGGTACTGCATTGATATGCTGAGTTTAGTCCGAGACTAAATGACGGCTCAAACCAACTGTCTTCTCATTGCGAATCTCCATATAGCGGTTTGAATCGACTACAATACTTGTTGTCAAAGACTGTGTCTGCGTGGCACCTCAGTTCCTTGCATATCAGCTCCTTTTTTTCTCTGCATTAGCCATAGGAAGCGCGCCGCTGCATTGGTCGCAATCTATGCATTGTCTGCGTGCACAGACTGGCGCGACTGTATGGCGCATTTATTGCGGTGAGCTCTTGCTCACTCGAGAAAATCGACGTCTTTCCATTGCAGACGAAGGCGAGATGCGATATCATTTTGTGTGAAGGACATGCCAAATTGGGAATTCTTATCAAAGGTACAGCTTTTCAAAATCAATGTTTTTCTTCTTGTTTTGAAAGAAACCTTGTACATGTTTCTTGAGGGCATCGATCATTGGTGACTGCATGGCGTCGTGGTATCGTGTGCAGCCATAAAGGACTGCCAATAGCTGAGCCGCATCTGACTGATGAATTAATTTGGAGTAAGTTCGTCATATTCGTTTGTCTATGCTTTTCTTTGTTTCAAAGCTCATTTAGAAATGAGTTTTGACAAACTATTCTTTACTTGCTTTGGTCAACTAAAGCAAATTTCAAACATTTGAGGCCGAGTATGATGTTTTGTCTACAGCCAACCGTTTGTTCAATGTACCACTTAACAAAGACAAAATATTCGTCGGCGTGGCGCGGAATTCGAAAGGAAACATCTGCATAGACAGATGCTTTTGATTGCCTTTCTTGCCGTAAAACTTCCAGATGTCGGATTGCCATAGAGCGTTGTCTTTGCGCCATGAATATATTATTTGTGGACATGCACATTTTCTTTGCTCCCGCCATATTGACTCTCTGTGTTGAGAACATTCTCAGTTCTTTTTTGGTATCCTTCTCTTCATTTTCACTCTTTTGCTCGGCGATCGCGTTATGGCAACAAAGTTGAATTCGGCTAACAAACCTTTGTGCTCTTTTTTCCCTCAAACTTACAGTCTCCCTTTACGGTATGCAAGCAAAATCTCTGTTAATGTTTTCTCAACTTGTGTACTGTATGGTAGCGCACTTGGAAAATGACATCTACCAAGTGTTTTTACACTTAGTTTCTGGCTCTGCAATGTGCGAGATTGTCGCATTTTATTCTGTTTTTGTATCATATGCAGATCGAAGCTTCAACAAGCATTTTTGCACTTATCGAGAGTGTGTAACGGGGTGGAGTCTCATAAACTTGTTTTACACGCTCTAACGATTCCTAGTATATAATTAACTGGTCCGAACTTGGCTGTCACTAAGGTATCAGAGGATAAGGAACTGGAAAAAACTATTTGTCGATACCACACTTGATCTCAAGATGAGCTTTGTGACAGTTGTGAGAATTCTGCTTTCCGCTTTTTCCTGCCAATCGTAGCGGTCACCCTTGATTCAAAGGTTTGGCGGCTGGAAGACGCGGCTTTGTGAGCTAATTGAGCCTCTCGCGCCCGCCTGCAGTTTGCGTCTCTCCCGCGCGCGTGCTCTCTGATCATTACCTAGGTCACGAAGCCCCGCCTTCCAGCGGCCAAGCCAGTTGAATCAAGGGTATGTGGACGTGTGGGACTAGTAGATACATTCTTAGGGTTGTACAGCATCCTCAAGTCGTCTTATATAGCGCTACTTTTTGAGTTCCCATGGCAGTTCCAGATTCAAAAAGCCTTTTTTCTACTTTGTGCCATCTTCTATGATTTCTTATGGAAGTAAGTGATACTGTTAAGGAGGCGACAAGGCTGTGCACTGTAAATGAACGATGCTGCACTCAGACTCGACGCTTAGAAACCGAAACGCCTAAAGCACGCGTGAATATGGCGTTGTTTTGCATAATGGAATGTAATTGTGGCTCCCATGATCATGAGAGATCTTCACAAAGCGTCGCTAAAAATAGATAATGGTTTTTATGATCAAGAACGTTAACGAAATGCATAGAATCAGAAGTGTGATAAAAAACGTCCCAGGCTTCATTTACATTCGATTTATATCTACATGTTTGCTTTCATAAACGTTGCAAGTTTGCGAGATTGTTATAGCTCTTTTATCTGTCTCGAAGTAATTTTATCTGTTCGCAGTGCAACCGACGGTGAATCCAGAAGCATCAGAGTCACTGATCTGTTCACTAGCAAATCGAAGTCTTCGATTAAACAATTCTATGCCTTCATTGGTGCAGACAATATTCGCTACGCAAAGAAAGCAGTCTTGGGTTGGTTGCTCAGAGTAAGTACTACTTGGTTTTTGGAGACAGAATTACAGTCATATTTGCATATGTTTAGTCCTCAACCAAGGAAAGCGTTGACATTGGAAAATATTCGAAATATGAGAAGCTCGCTTCGACATTCGCATTCTTTTGCTGCAACATTGCCAAGGGCGAAGCATAACATGTAATTGAATTTGTTCTACCAGTGTTTCTATCTGATGTTCTGTAGTGAACCCTATTTAGGATGGACGAGTCCGAATGCACACCAATTGTCGAACACGACAACCATGCTGATAATTCCATGCTGAGCTTCATGTCCGATTCCGGTGTTTGGTCACCGGTCCATGAAGAACCTGAGCTGGTCAGTTTTCTTACCAACTCCACTTGTTAGAAATCTAGTGCTATGTGAGAAGTAGTATTAGTAAACACGTCTTTTTTCCCGTTAGCTAAAAAGTTGTTATGGCTGGTTACGGTAAATATCATGAGCAGTTTTTTGTTTCCACTCTTCGCTGGCGGCAGTGCCTTGCCGAAGCCCCTCCCCCCCTTACACCGAGAATGGGTCGCAGAATTTTACTTAGTTATAAAAATGTGCAAGTGACATGTTCATATCTGTGAAATAATTAGAGCAGGTTATAAAAATTTTCAAGCTTGTGAAAACTTTTTTTTGGGGCGTGGCTGCAGCTATGGGCCTGCAAAAATTTTGAGCATTCCAAAAAAATTTCTAGATTGCGTGGTCAATGCAGAAATCCTGAGGCAGCCACTGGCTAGCGCATCATGAATAATGATAGTTGGCAATACTGGTCACCCTTGTGTCAATATATTAGGTTGAACCGAAAGTTTGTTCGTACCATTTCCAGAAAATCGTAACTTCCTTCTTTTACGATAATCTTGCACGAGAAAATAATATTAGAAAGGGCATAGCGTATACTTTTTAAGGGAACTTTGGCCGCCATCTACTAAGCTTGCAGAGATAAAATTGGGAAAAGGAAATCACTTCAATATCGGAATTGAGGCAAGCCCGTTAAAAAATCCAAAGCTGTGCCATAAAATCCAAAACAGGCAGCATCCTAGATTATTTGATCTTCTCTTTCTAGCTGAGCAAAATTGCGATAATTGTGCTGTTCTTTGAAAAGTTACGATTTTGGAAAAAAAATGTCAAAAAATTGATTTTTTTAAGGAACTGATGTTTCGGCATTTTTTCTTGAGGCCAACCTCGATTACCGCAAATTTTGCTCAGCTAGATAAAGAGGTTAAATAAACTTTCTGCCTGTATTGGATTTTGTAGCACAGTTTCGAAATTTTAACGGGCTTGCCTCAAAATTCCGAAATCGAAGTAATTTCGTCTTCCCAATTCTATCTCGGCAGCCAAAGCTTAGTAGATAGCAGTCAAGGCGCCCTTAGAAAGTATACGCTTTGCCCTTCCTAATATTATTTTTGTCGTGCAAGGCTACCGTAAAAGAAGGAAGTTACGATTTTCTGAAAATGGTGCGAACGAACTTTCGGTTCAACCTTATAGTAGTTCTATACCCCAACTTTTGGACGAGTTTACGTAGCTAGCATAGCTACGCAGTAGTGCGTATCAGGATATATCGAATGCATTACTGCTCTTCATGCTCTCTTTCATAATAATATCAATGAAGAAAACAACAACAAATCCTTATAAGCATGGCCGAAATTTTGCAAGCTTAGAAGTAGCATGGAGTGGAGAAATAGATAACAGCTAGTGTTAGCGACTGACTTTTTGTAGTTGAAAAGAAATGGCGCTATCTACTCTTCAAAAATCGTTTGGGAGGCTATAAAAAGTGCAGGAGCTTGACCTTGAAATGAAAAAGCGTCGCGAAGACACCTTTTGAGAATTACGGAGAATCTACGATTTTGAAATACTGAAAAATCATTTTTTTCCTGAACGCAGAAGCGGTCGGTTGGTCGCATATTGAACTCATGTAGACTACTTTCAAATATTCGGGCTTTCGCATAACTTCCACTGCTCAGCGTACATGAGGATTTCCAAAAAATCTTCTACTAATCTAGCATTTCCGGCCACCGATAACAAGCCACCAACGACTTTCCATGTAGATTTCACAATAAGCTGAAGCAGCGCGATTGAACAGCTTTTTTGACATATGGGAGACATCGAAGTGAAATTACAATATATCGAACTTGGGCAACTGTTCTGGAACCTGAGGTTTTCTCTCAGAAATTTGCTCAAGCAGTTACTATCAAGTAAAAAGAGTTTTCATTTGTACACTAAACTTCTCCGCCCCCGTATGATTCCCAGTTCTTTGCAGGTTGTTCCTCCGAAAGTTGAGCAACGAGAAGAACGAGCATCTCCTGAAACAAAATTTGAAGAGAAGTCGATCAGTCCCACAAGAAGTCTCCAGGGTGGCGTGGATTGGAGACGCATCACAATAGCGGCAAAGCTGCCACTACTGCGGGCTGACATTTTAAATTTTGAAGCAGCTTTTGCTGTGAACGACGATTACAAGGAACCGGTTTTTGATCTCTAACCCTTCTGATTTTTTAGACAGCACTAGTATGCCTTGATAATGTGTTGCGCATCATCAGAAGGAAATGGAGTGTGCCCAGGGTGTTCATACTTTTTCTATTGTGCTTCTATTCCGTGCCTTCCTTTGCTTCAACATGTTCTATATTACTGGTAATTTTACTTGACTGGTGCGAATTTTTTTTTACATTTTGCTAACTATTATCCATTTGCGCGTTAGCGCTGCACAAACAACCTGAGATCTGCTTTGCTATTATGGTGCCTCATTCTTGAGTCACTGTTCTGAGAAACTTTCCTTGTTCGGTGATTTTTACTGTTTGTACTGGTGTCATGTGTGAAATGCATATCGTTTTATATTTTACCTAATAGAGACGTTACCAATCGAAGCAGTGTCATGTATACCATTTGATTCAACTGGCTTGGCTTCTGGAAGGCGAGGCTTCGTGACCTAATTAGGGCTAGGTAATTATCAGAGAGCACTCGCGCGAGAGAGACGCAGGTGCGTTGCGAGCGCCCTTAATTAGGTCACAATGCCCCGCCTTCCCGAAGCCAAGCCAGTGGATTAGGTTTTCATGCCATGAACGTATCGTATGCAACAATCTCTTTTCAATCGCATAAACATTGCCCGACGAGAACAAGATTATCTATATATTTAGCTAATATACTTATTAGAATTCTGATCAAAGTCTTGAGCAAAGCGACAAATTGTGAAACGGCTATTATCCCTGCATCAGGCCAAAGATTAGAATTTGGTCAACCTCAGCAGATGATTAGAGTGTGGGAAAACATATTTAGAGGTGGCTATGACATTGCAAAATAAATAGTGGAATGGCTACTTTTTTTGCATTAGCTCGATAAAAATATGACAGAACTAGCTGGTAAACGCGGATCTGCCTGGCCCTGTCAGTAATATATTCGTAATCAGCATGCTCACACCCGTGCCAACTCTCTACCCCGTAGCTCAAATTTTGCAAAAAAGATTGATAAAATCGATATCATTCAATGATGAAAAGTAACGTACGACACCGCCCCGCCACGGAATGTATGTGCGCCACGTTTGGTTCCGATCGGTTCAGAAATAAAATTTTCCGTTTCGGACATACGTAAGACATACAGACAGACAGATAAACAGACTCTCAGCTTTATATTCAAAACGGTGAATTCAAACATGGTATATCGACAGGGGCCAAGTTCAGCCGGGTTTCTTAGTCACTTAAAGCATCTCGACTGCTAGCATAGTTACCATATTCACTTCGAAGCAATTATTCATCGGAGAAAACAACAAGATAAGAGTAGTTACTGAATCTTCATGCTGCAGCTTCATCCCGTCAATTTTTACGATCTTCCACCGTTCGCAATCAGCAACAAATGATGTTGCGCCTAACTCTCTGCTCAGCACTGTAATGACCTTTATATCATAAAAAAGAACGATGAAAGAAAAGTGTACCTGTTGCCGGGCCTAGTTGTTGAAGCTGTATGCTGGGTGAGAGATTTTAGTGAGCTTCGTTTACGAATTCCTAGCAGTACCAAGACTTCAGTTTGTATGGAACGGTTGAGGACGAGGTAAACAATGGCAGGAAATCCTAAAGTAGAGTAACCCTCACCGATTTTCAAAATTTCATCATTTATCTCTCTTCACTTCATGTCACACAATTTATTCAAATCGCGACAAATTGTTTTGTTTGTTTACGGGTTACTGCATGACGAAGACGCAGAAGCAATATCACTTGAGCGGGCGCGAACGTGGCACGCGTGTCACCGTTGCACATAAATCCTGCGCCTCATGCGCTCCACGGCTAATAAAGCCGCGTTCGCGCCCAAAGATATTGCGCCTTCGTCATGCAGCAGTGTACGATCCATGTCAATCAGGTGCTCCCTTTTCTGTAGCAGCTACGCGTCCGCACCGCAAGGGCCTAGCGCAGCGACTCTGATTGATGGAGCGAGTTTTGAATACGCAGCTGTACGCGCGCGAGCGCAACGCGAGGCCAAGGCGTTGCGATATGGTTGGTGGAAAAGGGAACACAAGGTTGACGCAGACTATAAAGTCTCTTTTTATCCCAGAGCACTGTTTTTTGATTCTATTGGAAATTATTGTTAAGAAAAGAATATTAATTGCTATAGCGCTCATAAAGTACCGCTCACAGTTCGTCAAAGAAGTCATAGAACTTTCCACCTGAGTTCACCGAAATCCGCGTCGCACGCGTAATCTGTCCGCCATATAGTATAAGTTCAGAGTGGACGAATTCGAATGGCAAAGCACCTCGGCGCAACTTCTGATTATTAAAGTTTTCGTTTAAATACGGTAGGCGGTCACATTTCATAGGTGTTTGCTTGCGGTGAGTTACGAGTGCAAAATTAGCACACTGGGTAGCATACCGCAAGCAAAAATCATAAAGATCTGTGAAATCTGTCCGCCTACCGTGCACCTATACGAAGAGGCACTTTCATATAGTATGTTTCAACTCAGTTTAGGCGGAAATTGGACCGACGGGAGTTCGCTGGCAGAGATTCGCGCCGCACAGTCTGCGTCTCGTCACTATCTATCTCGTTGAGCCAGTCAGCGGCGGTGCGAACGCGCTGCTCCATTTGAAAAGTTCCGCCTACTCCGAATTAAAAAAGACTGACATCAGAGACCTTGCCGAGCTGAGTCAGACGGTGCCCTGATGTTAGATTTCGTCCACTCTGAACAAAGACATATGCGACGCGGATTTCGGTAACTCCAGTGGAGTTTGGCAACTACTTGACGAATACAGAACGGATGTGTTTCACACAACTTGGTAAAAATTTGAAATACCCAATTTAATTAATTAATTTTTTTCACATCCGGGGTCCAAGAGGTGATCGATCGTCAAAGCCCCCCCCCCCCAAGCAGTATCGTTTTTACCGTAGGCATAAAATGCGGTCCTACCAAGTAGATTGAGTAACATACTTGTGAATAGCATGTCAAATAACACCTGTGCCAAGTTTTAACGAATTCTGATGTTGCCGAATATTGGGCAGCCTAATTAAAATGGCCATTTTCGAACACGATTGTTATGAAAGTGAGTTAGCTACATCATTTTGCCCTTAATACAAAGCCCTACTCTATCTTTGTCCACAGGAAATTCTTACTTAAATAAACGCCATACTATGGAGTTGGAAGCAGCCATAATCTCGTCTTCCATTTCTTGCTTCCAGAGGTAGTAACTTTTATTCAGATAAAGAAAAATCGAACAGGCTCAAACTACTGCTGTGAAAATTACGAAATTTATGTTATCGAAATATACATGTAACCAGGGTCAAGCAAGAAGTGTGGCACACGATCGCTGGTCACGACCCCCTCTTATTGCTGTAATAAGACCCCCGAACTACATACCAAAGATAGCATTACTTGAAGGCCCTGTCAAACATAACGGGCAACATATCCATAATTAGCATGTCAATTAACCCCCTTGGACAATGTTTGAGCGAATTCTGAAGTTTCAAGATACTGGATCACCTAAGTGAAGTCGCCATTTTCCAGCATGATACTTTGTTTCAAAGGTAAAGTAGCTAGCAGATTTTGCACTCAAGACCTACTCTTTCTTTAGCCACTTTAGAAATCTCGCTTCAAAAGACCTCCTAACTTCGGAATTAGAAGCCAACCAAAACCTTGTTTTTCCTATTCTTCGCTTTCAATGGCTGTGCTTTTACCAAATATTACTCAGAGTTAAGAAGACGAATCAGACTTAAATCACTCTTATGAAATCTACGAGGTCTAGCCTATCGATTCATATAAATAACGTTCGCTAAAAATGTTTTTTGATGTAGTTAATGGGGTGTGGCACCACCCCATTAAGTTGCCTTCAAACAGATCAAACAGCTGCGCTTTTTATATCGTTGTTACTGCTCAACCTTCTTCTTTACATAGCAGAAATTTCATATGGAAACGTTTCTTCAAAAGCAAGATATAATCGTTTTTCCTTACCTATGCAAATGTAAAATACTGATAAAATACTGCGAAAATATTGAGATACGGTAACATGCTAAGTCTGCGCTACCACGTGAATCGCAAAGGAAGGCGACAAGAATGTATCTATTCGATAGCCTAAGCCTCGTAATCTGCATTAAAGTGATTTAAGCCTGATTGATCTTCTCTAGCCTAAGATATTGAGAACGAAAAATGGAACAAACGAGATTTCGGCTTGCTCTTAATTTCTTAATTTGGAGGTCATTTGAATTAGGATTCCTAATGTGAGCAAAAGAAATAGTCCTTTGTATTAAGCGCAAAAAGTAGTAGTTAACTTACCTTTGAAACAAAGTAACATGTTTGAAAACGACCATCTCACTTAGGTAGTCGTGTATATGGAAACCTCAAAATTCGCTGAAACTTGGACCACAGGGGTTATTTTATTTGCTAATTACAAAACGATGCTCTTATGCTGTATAGATCTTTAATTATGCTTACTGTACGTACACGATAATGGGTCAAACACCAAAGTGCTAGTATTTTGCATGACGGCTCTATTTGACATTGTTAACGAACATCATGTTGTGCGAAAAGCGGACGCCTTGATAACGACCCTCCCTCCTCCCTGATTCCTCAATACGACTCCCCAGGTGTGGCATGCCACACCCCACGCTTGACCCTGCATGTAACCAGTGCGTCACCTCTGCTTCGCAGAGGAATCGCACTGTTCTACTATTTATATATCTTACTCATTCTCGCATAATGATGGCACTAAAACTCACCGCGCAATGCTGACCATCACGAATGAATTGTAAAAAATCTAATTCGAACAGCTTTTTCATGTGAAGTCGGTAGCTTTGGGTGAATTAAACTTTTCGCACAAGAACAAATGCAAATTTCATTTAGTTTTTGGACTTTCTATGGCTCGCTAGTCGCCATAAAGACAACAATCATCGTGAGCTACATCTGTATGCAAAAATTTCAATCTTCTCAAATACTCAGGTGAAATTTTGGCAAATTGACCATTTCGCTACTATTAATTTTTTTGGCGCCGTCTTCGTAAAATGATAGACTTGACTTCTTGACTTCTTGACTTTGCAAAAAGTGTTACTACGAACCCAATTTTGTTGGCCAGAAGCCAAGTGGATCCGTTTGACGCGCGATTCTTGAAAGATTCACTCAACGGATCCGCTCTTGCTTTTGCATGTTGGACTTTCATGTTGGTAGCATGGGCTATGCAAAGTTTGGGCTCAGGATGTTGGCTGGAACACGACCTACAAATTTCGTAATGGACAGACAGAGAGAGACACACAAAAACATGTAAACACCCTTAGCCCATTATTATAAGTAACTAGCTGACTTTCCCGGTCCAGCCCGGGTCACCGTTTAAGAGGATGGCCAAACCACATGTCTCTCTTCCCTCATTTTTCGGTTCGACCATACCCTTTTCGGCAGTCTCATACTGCACTGAAAGCCCCTCCCCCTTACCCTCCTGTCTGAGCTTACCTCAGAAATTGATTGGAGTAACTGCATCTTCTACACTTAAGATTGAAAATGAACTTTACTGCATTGTCTACACCAAAATGTGCATGGGGTTTGATAGTAGCTGATAAGCTTCAATTTCACTGCAAAGTGCCAAAAATATAAATCAATAGGAGGATCCAGCGGATCGCTTTAAAAAGTACTCTAAGACCATCTACGGGGTCGATATGTGTGCAAAGTTTCAGCTGAATCGGTTCACGCGCAAAGAAGTTTATGAAAAACATACGGTCAAGATTTGCACAAACTTTGACTTTTATATATATAGATGATGTTCGCTAAGTTCCTTTGGAGGTAAGTTAATGGAGTGCGGCACAACTTCAAGGAAGGTGTGGTTGCCAAACCGTTTTTGGGTTGTGCCGCACCCGTTAACTTAGCATATCGTCTAGACGGGTAAATCTTCCTCTCTTTACAACAGAATTTTTATTCAAGAAGTTACTTCTGGAAAAAGATATAATCGCATTTCTAGTACTATAGGGTGTCCCAAAAAGATGTGCACACAGTTTGCTCGTCAATATCTCTTTCGTTTGAACTCTTTGCCGAGCTTAAGGTACCGTTCTGTAGAGCGAGGTTCAACTTCGATCTGCAGCATGGAGCGAATCTTCGATTTCATTACTGTAGGATTACGGTAAGAACTTCGAGAAGGATTTGGCCATTGAAGCAATATTTTGCCTCAGAAAGAGAAGTAAACAAGCCCGAAACTCTTGTATGAGCTAATCAAAGTCGCTGGTTTTAAATTTGAAATATGCACTTCATTGCAATGCTTCTTTCTTGAGTTATTTCAGCTTTGGGGTAACAACTCTTATTTTAATGTTCGTCAGAAATGTGATTATACCACTAAAAAAACTCGAAAAACTGGCAAGAAGTTGTGTAGTGAAATCAGCACGCGTGAAAAAAACCTTGCTACACAAATTTACAGATTTTTTATAATTTTTTCATGGAAACGTCTATTCCACATAGGAGCTGTATGCCGAAATTTCTTACCGTAGTCCCACAATAATGAAGAGAGATGAAGGTTTGTTCTGGTTAAGCTTCGAATTCAAGCTGAACCTCGCTTTACCGAATAGTATCTCAAACTCGACGAAAGACGTTCAAGCAAGAGAATTATCAACGATC